ATATATATATATATATATATATAAAGAAAAATTGTTTAATTTCGTCCAAAAAGAAAAAAGAAAAATCGGTTAGTACCTATATATAAATACACATATTTATGTAAATAAATAAGTTCAATCCAATTAATTAAAATAAATAAAAATTTAAATATGTATAAGTCACTTCTTTTTCTTTTTTTCGTATTCTTTTCAGTTCAGAAATTTTCTTTATATTCTTTATAAGGGAAACAAACTTTAGCTTGTTACTATAACTTCCTTGGCTTTTACTTCAATAGTTTTGAAAGGATAATGTTAGTTTTGAGAATCTAACTTGATGAATTACGTACAAAAAAAAAATTTAAATGCAATACAGATATAAGAATTTAAATTAAAAAACAATTTTCGTGATTTTATTTTCTAAAGCAAAGAAAGCATTCAACTTTTGACTTGAAGCTGTGAGCATAAAATAATAAAAGGGGAGGATGGGGACGTACAGACAAAACATGACAAGAGTTGAATGAAAGTGGATGGGGAACATGATAAGAACTAATAATTAAAATGGGGTAATTTCTAGTCTCCTAAAACCTTTAATTTAATTAAAACTTCGTACCCTAGCTAGCCCTATATTTTCCATTGATGACAATGGCCATAACACTTCGAAAACTTGCAAATGTTATCCCCCCCCCCCTTTTTTTTTTTTCACTTTTATCCAATATTTGAGCAACAAAATTCCTACACCACCCTTAATTGATCTTGTGGTTTGATCTGTATACAAATTATTTTGTTTATAAAGATGTTTGATTTTTGTTAATGGTGTAGTTTACCAATTTAGAAAAATTAGTGTAAAAATCACAACTAAAGTAAAGTTTTGAAATGTTCTTATCAAGCTGGTATCAATTTAAGAAAATAAACCTAAGAATAAATGTATTTTTTTATTTTGATAAAATTTTATTAGTATTTTGAGCTACGTAACTCTCATTCATCTCATAAATCCTGTTCCTTCTCCATCTTAGGTAATTCAAGCTTGAGACATGTGATTAAGTGAATAAAGAAAAGCTAAGGAACAAATAATTTTGGGTCTCAAAACATAGGATATTTGATTTATTTATTAATGCCACTCATGCCAATGATTTAAGTAAACAATATTATATATCTAATGATTTTTGAAGTTAATATGATATTAAGATTAATATTTAAAAATTATAAATTTAAAAAAATTAAAAAATAAAGAAATATATATTACATGTTTGGCCGAACAAGTAGGGACAAAATTGTGTCAATTAAACAACCTTGTTTTCTTCTTAATTTCCTTTCTCCAAACTATAATATTAATTCAAATTGAAAAAGTAGCAAGATATGCTCTTTGATATGGGCATCAATGCCCATCATGGGGTTATTATATTATTATTGCTTGGCCTAACTTTTGTCCTCCTTTTACACTCTCTGGTCTCTATCTACACAGCATTTTATCTTTATCTTTTTCTTTCTTTTTTATGTAGGGGTGATGAACTATTTTAGTTAATATTAATTTAACTTCATGCAAACAAACTTTGTTATTACATTTTCTAGACCAAATCATAAGCCTTTTGGAAACATAATGTAAGTTTCCTCAATTTGGAGAGCAAGAAAATGCAATGTAATGATAACATAATTGATGGCAATTTTAATTTTCATACAAAAGATGTGCAAACATATATATGTGGTACATCATGGTCACAAAATTGAACCACAAAATTAAATTGAGGCCAAACAAAACCGCGCGAGAGAGACACGTATTTAATTACAAAAAAAAACTCTTCGATATTAATTTAAAAATTTTTCTTCTTTATAATTAGATAAAAGTCTTGATATGCATTTAAAGATGCTTATGATAAAGGCTGCTATCTTAAGTTATGCATTGATCAAGCATACCACATCGCTAAAAACAAGTTGAAAATTATCCTTTTAAATAATGAGAAAATTGGGAACAATAAACAACTTTCACATTTTCCAACTTTAAGGCTTGTAGCTTCAAAAAAAAAAGAAAAAAAAAAAAAAGGAAAAGAAAAACCAGAGACACAAGCAAATGTATATAGCTTCAAAATGCAGCTGAGCACAAATGTGAAAATGTTCCCAACAACAAAAAGCAAAGTAGAGACTGATAATAATTGCGATGTCTTGTAAGCTGAAAGAGCATTGTAGCAGTGTACAATAAAATAAAGGTGGAATGATTTCGGCTTATCTTATTGCTGGGATTTAGGGCTCCATAACAATTCTAGGTTTCAGACCATTTGGAAGGAAAAAAATAAATAATTGAGAACGAAAAAGAAAGGAATAACCATTTCCCCATTTTCAACTCACAAGAGTAAGCATCATAGAAACAATTCATCATAGCAGATTTGAAATTGAAAACTGGGGGGACAAAATCATGAATGCCAAATTTTGGCATAGTTCCTTTCTTTCTTTTTTTTTTTTTAACTCAGAAAAGTGATGAATGGTAAATTTTAGACTGACATTTAACCTAAAATTAATTGTTTATACATGAAGTGATTCTTGTTATGTGTCCACGATGAACCTAATTTAATATATGTGAGATTAACTTTATGTTCACTTCAATATTTTTTTTTATGTGAAGGAATAATGAATTTATCGTGTGATATGAACTTCACGTGTAATGTAAAAAAACAACGAATTTATCACGTGACATGAATATTATGTGTAAAAATTATAAATCTATTGTGCGACATGAAATTTACATAATAAGTGTAAAAAATCTATTACAAAAGGAACAATACATGGAATAACGCCTTTTTTATGTCATGTTAAATTTTAGATGGCATATAATTTAAAATTAATTGATAAAAAGTGAAATAATTTTTGTTATATATATATATGTATATCCAAAATACTCCTAATTTAACGGATGTGAAATTTACTTAATTTTCATTTTAATAATATTATTAATAAACAATTTCCATGTTTACACCCAAGAGCTTAAATTTAAAAAAATAAATAAATGAATTACAACTCAATAAAATTAATTCTCTGTTAAAACTTATAATAGAAATCAAACTATTTCAAGAAATTTAAGTATTGGAAGTTTTTATTGATAAATTTGATTTTCACTTATAGAAATGAGAAAATCTATAAGAAGAGAGGTTTTGAATCTTCGATTGTATGACCCAATTCGATTGCTAACAAGCTAATACCTTAATAGCGCATAGCAATACGCATGTGAATGCACATTTCGTTTAACCTTCTCTAACATTGTTGTTCGATTACTTCCTTTCTCTTCGTATATTTTGCTGATTTAAGTATCGAAATACATTTTAAAGTACCATTTTCGATGTCTCATAATTTTTTTCTTTGTAAGAGATCATGTTTATTGTTCTTCTCAACCCCTGGTTCTCAACCAGGTAAGAAGTTACATCAACACCACTTAACACTACCTATCAATCTACATATGTTGATGTTAGTAGATATAATAATTGGACGAAATTTAGTAAGATCTCGGTTTAGGTTTTGGAGATTTCATAATTGATTTTTTTTTTTTTTTTTGGAGTTGTTTAAGTTAATGGGTTATTGACTTTTTAGACAAATTGGTGTTTAAGCCAGGGGATTGATCCGCTTGGTTTGAGTCAGCTTTACAATTTTTACCGTACTAAAAATCATCGTAGGTGCAACTTTCCTTTGCTATGGGGATCCAAATTGTTGGAATTACATCAGCTCTAAATTGTTGAATTTTTTAGATCATTAGGTTTATAGTTAAGTCAAATTAAAATAATATTGGTAATTTTTAACTAATAGAAAATTAAGAACTTAATTTTTTTAAAAAAATTGAGATTCAAATTTAAATTTTTATTAAAAAAATACATATTTTTAATTCAGATAAAAAGATACGAATCCTTAATTCATATGATCAAATTGAATTTCATTTGATAATAAATTGTTGCAATTAAATCGAATTTAATTCAAATGATTCATCCACTTTTATTAAAAAATTAATTTTAATAAAATTAAAATTCCATAGTTAATACTTACAAATTCTCCATCTTCATTTCCTTTTAGACATTACGTGAATAAGTGGAACACTCTTCTTCTGTGCCAATATATCGTGTATGTCATTAACACAAATCCCATTTTAAGCCAAGAGCTGGTTGATGATATCACGTTTCATTCCAAAAGATCAATTACAGTTTAAACCTTTTGTGGGCAATGACTGATTCTTGATTACATTTTTATATATAAGAAATTTAAACACAATTGTTTCCTGATCAGGTATTCAATTTAATATATACATTAGGTTTCTCTTTTAATGAAAATCACAAATATCTACTCACAAAGTACCAAAAACAGAAATCAAATTATAAAAATTCCCATGACGAGTAGATCTAATACATAATTTTAAACATGAAATAATTAATGTGATTGATACGATATCAAAAAAATATATAAAAACGACATAAATTAAATTTTAGACAAAAAATATATGAATTTTAAAAAATTAAATAATATTTCTTGTATTTATGATATTATAATTTTCATATATGACACAAACATTAATAGATATGGGAACTGTCAATTTGTGATAAAAAAGAAAATCAAAAACATTTATTTAAAGAAGAATCATGCATCAAAAGCATTTGGATCGACTTTGTTTGGTACAATTAATGCAAATTGAGGTGAGACATGTTGCTAAAGCAAAGGCTTTTGGCCGCAACACAACAATGAATGTTCCAAAGAAAAAAAAAAAAAAAAACAATGAATATTCCGCACAATATACACTGCATTTCTTTCCTAATTCCAATTCCTACCTATGGCCTATGGGGTTGGATGAGATTTCAGAGTAAATTATTCATCACTGACATCAATAATTGGGACAAGGCAATTATCAAAGACACATACAAGTCAAAAGACAGACAACAATTGAAATGGGTAAATAAATAGTAATATTTTTTATAATGAAAAAGAAATTTGTGACATCCGAATGGTTTTCCAAAAGGGCTTCTGGGATTAAAATGGGTGCGTGATTATCAACTACAAGCCATAATTCAATGGAAAAAGAGAAGAGTAAATGGAGTAATAATTCCCAAAATAGTAGTTTGATTTGGCACAAAAAGGCAATGCCTAATAGAATATTAAACCCTGGGGGGGAAGCATTTTAGGGACTTCCCATTGCTGGGATTTAAGAGACCCCCATCCCCCAAAATCTATTTGATAGGTTCAGACTGCCATTCTTATTGTCAACTTTCCACTCTTCCTCTGGCCTGCCTCATACACTTGGACTTGACTCGGGTACCCCCCCAACGGCCCCTACACGTAGTTTCTCGGCAGATGATGGCACCGTATGCACAAATCTAACATCACAGTTGGCCACTTGAGCTGATCCCTACACTGAAGTGAAGTAGAGACTTTAATTTGAACTGACAGAACTTCCATAAAAAGACTACTTTTTCAGGACAACAAGCCAATAGCACTTCAGCCAATTACACAGTTGAATTTTCCATTTTCCAATAGGGGCTTCAATTCAATCTCAAATTGGCATGTACTGATATCTGCATATGTTTACATCAGGCCATATATTGTTCATTTACAAATTTCATGTAGCCTTAGCCTGCATCTGTTGCAGCAGAGCGAGTCAAGGAGCTATACCAAGTTCCCCACAAGCACACCCTCATGAAATTCACGTGCTTAGGGACCCACGACACCCACCTCCCACCCCACTCACCTCTGACAGGATACAACCTAGTAGGGGCCGGCCAGTCGATACTGGAAATCCTACTTGTAGAATAGGCTACAGCGGTAGTGCATGCATACAAAAAAAAAAAACGTAACTAAGACATTGTCAAGAGAAACAAGACAGGCGTATAAATTATAAACCATGAAGTAGAAAGGCGACACCGTGAATGGTCTTTGTATAGACAGTTATAATTGCTTTAAGTGGTAATAGCATCATCAAAAAAAGGTAGTAACAGATAAAGGCAGATTATGTGGTTGTAACAGTTACCATTGCTTTAAGTGGTAATAGCATCCTCAAAAAAGGTTGTAACAGAGAAGGCAGACTATGTGGCTGTAAGTTGTAACTGTGGGGAGAAATTACTAGATATGGAATCTAGTACTTATTTTATTCCTGTAATAGGTAACATCTAAAATATCTGACGTTTAAATGTCAGTTATTCTGTGTAATAAGTAATATCTAATACATCTGATTGTCAAATATTAACATCTATAATTTCTTTTTTAGGTAACATTGAATATATTTGACGTTCAATAACTTGCAACTCATTTCTTTATCTCTGACTTCCTTTGTACCAAAGATATGTGAAAATCTTCACTTTCTTTTCCTCAACTTTTTTGCAGAAACCAAAAAGGAAAGCCAAAGTAAGCACACTCACAATCAACACAAGGTAATGGATTGGAGTCACCGTAGAATATGTGACTCTGTTTGACCATACCGCCCAAACCTTCCCCTTTAAATTCTCCACTTTCTTTCATTTCGTTGTGCTCTTCTACACCTCTCCTTTAGCTTTTACCCACAGAACATCCAGAATCTCTCTCTCACTCTCTCTCTCAGACACACTCTTACGCACATACAAGACAGATACTCACAAGCATATCCTCAAGAGATGGGGTCACCAGATTGTAGCTTTCTCAAACAAAACAACGTTATATTCCTTTTCATGATTCTGGTGTTGAGCTGTATGCCCGATAGAACCAACCTTTGTTCTAATCACTCTTTTGACACCCCGACCATTCCACCTTATTCAGGCTCCTCCAGTATCCCCTTGTCTTTGAAAACACTTACTCTAGATGGCTACTTCAGCTTTGAGAACCTTGAACATGCCGCCAAAGACTTCGGTAACATATATCAATACCTCCCCATGGCAGTTCTACACCCAAAATCAGTTTCTGATATTTCTTCCACAATAAAGCACATCTTTGATATGGGTTCTGCAACAAAGTTGACAGTTGCAGCTAGAGGCCATGGTCACTCCCTTCAAGGTCAGGCACAAGCCTATCAAGGCGTGGTTATCAACATGGAATCACTTGAACGACCAAGCATGTATGTTAAAACCAGTGAGGCGCCTTATGTGGATGTTTCAGGCGGTGAGTTGTGGATTAACATCCTGCATGAGACTCTTAAATATGGTCTTTCACCTAAGTCCTGGACAGACTACCTTCATCTAACTGTCGGCGGAACTTTATCAAATGCCGGGATAAGTGGTCAGGCATTTCGGCACGGACCCCAGATACATAACGTTTATCAACTAGAGGTTGTAACAGGTGCGATTAAGCAAACAACTTTTTATAAATTCCTAGAGACAATTTCAGACAGAGTAGGCTGAAATAACAGCATAGTCATTTCGTTAAAAAGGCATGGCGGGGTAGTTAGTTCGTTTATTTTTAGGTGAAATGACATCTGTAACCCTTCAGAGCTGGTTCTAGCAAACGTAAATCAAACAGTAGAAGGATACAGTTTCAATAAAATGAACATAGTTAAACTCTAAGTAAGACAGAAAACCAATATGGGAAAAATGGAATCTAACTTGGAGTTTTGATGCAGGAAGCGGAGAAGTGATCACCTGTTCAGATAAGAAGAATGCTGACCTCTTTTATGGTGTTCTTGGGGGACTAGGTCAATTTGGCATCATCACCCGGGCTAGAATATCTCTTGGACCGGCAGAAAAGATGGTAAGAGAAAGAGAACTCTTTCTTAACTGTTGTACTGAAAGACACAGGGTTTCTCAAACATGCTTTATCATTGTTTTCAGGTGAAATGGATCAGGGTTCTTTACTCTGAATTGTCTACATTTTCCAATGACCAAGAGCATTTAATATCATCCAAGAATTCATTTGACTACATCGAAGGGTTTGTCATAATAAACAGAACTGGTCTCCTCAACAACTGGAGATCTTCCTTCAATCCTAAAGACCCAATTCAAGCAAGCCAATTCAGTTCAGATGGAAAATTACTTTACTGTCTAGAAATGGCTAAATACTTTAACCCAGAAGAGACAGATATTTTAAACCAGGTAAAACTTGACAAGAAACACGTTCTACCATGCTCAAGCATCAACCTCTATGTTTAATTGATACAATGGAACTAACTACCGTGCACATTGCAGAATATCGAGAAGTTATTGTCAGAGTTAAACTATATTCCATCCACACTCTTTCTATCCGAAGTTTCTTACGTGGAATTCCTCGATAGAGTGCACTTGTCTGAGATAAAACTCAGATCAAAAGGGTTATGGGAAGTTCCTCATCCATGGCTGAATCTACTTATACCCAAAAGCAGAATTTTCGACTTTGCTCAAGAGGTCTTCGGTAATATTGTTAAAGACAACAGTAATGGTCCTATCCTCATTTACCCAGTCAACAAGGCCAAGTACTTGATCATAAAAGTCTATCTAATTGTCATTTACAATTCTTAGATGCCATATTCTCAACCTGGTATATCATCTATATTGCAGGTGGAACAATAGAACATCCCTGGTTACCCCAGAGGAAGATATAATCTACATGGTGGCATTCCTATCATCTGCACTCCCATCATCCACAGGAACTGATGGCTTGGAACACATTATAACCCAAAACCAACGTATTCTTGATTTCTGTGCCAAGGCACAGCTGGGGGCAAAGCAATATTTGCCCCACTACAGCACCCAAGAAGAGTGGCAAGTTCATTTCGGTCCACAATGGGAAACTTTTGTACAGAGAAAATCTGCATATGACCCTTTGGCGATCCTTGCTCCTGGACAGAGAATCTTCCAAAAGGCAATATCAATCTCATAACACTGCCTCTTGCCAAGGCCATATATTAAACACCGGGCACTAAAGTAATAAAGAGCGTTCTGCCTGAATCTATAAATTAGGACCAATCAAAAATTCCGCTTGCTAATCAGAATCTACAACACCCTAAGCAAGATAGGAGAGCGGTTGGTTTGGACAATTTTGTTGATGAATTGAAATGTTAAGCAATCACAACATTCCTTGTACAAAGAAGTTATAATATAGCCTCACAAAGGGCATTTTAAGCATGTTATACAGAGCCTTACATATTGTCTTGACATAATCATGCGGTGCAACATCCTCTCTTCCTTCAAGATACCAGGTAATGCTGCCATAAACAACAAATCACTAAATAAATAAATCCAAACCACAGAGTCTATTATATGAAAATGTAAACAGAGCTATTTCCTTTCTGATGCTTCTCTCCAGCCAAGACCTGGCCTGCATACATCTCCCTGAGGTTCTTCATAGTCTCTGGCATCACGAATTGAAGCTTCAAAGTCGGTCCAGTCACTTGCAACAGGAAGAAAACTACTTATGTCATCCCTTGCTCCAAAGCCCCCAGCCCGAATAACATCCTCAGCTGTTATAGAAACCTCCATGTTTACTTCTCCAGAGGTTTCCACATTTTCCAAAGTTTCGCCATCTATTTCCCCGCCTTTCCAATCAATTGCATTAACCTGTGCATCCTTTAGTGGAGAACTTGACACCACTTTAGAAGCATCTTCCACAGAAACCTCAGAATTAGTGGATTCAGTTGCTTCGTTCCTTGTTCTGCCTTCCCCTTTTTCTGTAAAATTCAAGCCTCACAAAGCAATAATAACTTAACAAAGGACAATGCATTCAAAGTGAAAAAGAAATGGAATGAGAAAAGTCTAATTTTATGAATCACAAATTCACAATTCCAATAGATTTATTAAAAACTCGATTCATGGAAGTGAAAATCCATGTCATCAAACTCCTTCAAGAACCCAACTGAAACCTCCATAGTAGATATAGTCAATAGTCATAGCTGCTCATGAATTTAAAAAAAAAAGCATCTAGATGTCAAGACAAATCAAAATCCTGTAATAATGTGCATAACAGTATCAATATTATGTAGTTTCTATGAAATGCCCATACACCTTCTGCGGAAAAATATGCCCTTGCATTTATCTTTGTAATTGCATGGTGAGGCTTGCTTCAAATTTCTTTGCAAAATATAGCAATGATAATTTTATGCAACCCCCAAAAGCAGCCCCATACAAATGAACAGGAGTCTTATCTCAGAGATTCTTCCATTGCATTAAACATGAAGTATTTTCCTCTGACTACAAACAAAACCCAGTACAGAACAATCAAGTCATGCCCTTTCCAACTCAATTGCAGTATACATCCACCCTAGCATGTTATGCTTGTCTGACTATAACTTCAAAAATGTTCTACAAGCTGATCTATGCTAGTAATAGAGGTGGAACTTGATAATAAAAGGGCTTCTACATGTAGATGCAAATGTAGTGCAGAACAATCAAGTCATGCCCTTTTCAACTCAATTGCACGATAAATCCACGCATAGCATGTTCAGCTTCCACAACAATAACTTAAAAAATGTTCAACAACCTTATTTATATTAAATGATGGTGGAAATCAATAATAAAGGAGCTCCTACATGTAGATGCAAATAGTCCACCACATAATCCCTATGCCTAATATCTCAGTTTGGAGGTTGAACCGTTCTATTCACTTTGACTTACCTGTAAGTGAAAGTTTAAGTCCTTGTTCATTTAGTATACGGGCCTTCCAATTGTGTCCATCAGCGATTTCTTTCAATAAAGGCAATGGCTATCATTTGGAGGTAAGATGCCTTCTCTAGAAGTGTAGGGAAGGTAATCATATATCAATAATTCTATATCAAAGGAATAACTGGGTTTATATTTTCAATAATCCCACTTTTGCATTAGTGGTTTGTTGTATTTTTTTTTTTCTTGTGAACACACCATTGTCGGGGAACACAAGCTGGGTTGTAGAAGCCATCTGTGTTAAAGATTTGTTTCTATAGAAGTGCCTTTCACTTACATCCAATCCTTTAGCATGGCAGCATTTGGAGAGTAAACTTATATCTCCTATGAACACCTCAAAAGTCTGAGCCGTTTTATCAAAACTCCTATCCAAGGGAAAAGATGCATCACAAAGAGTACATGTAGAGTACTTAAAGGATTCTGCGTGCATAGCAAGATAGAGTTAGCATCTTAAAGTCATCCCTGAAATGTTTTACTGGTTTAACTCCTATGGTCATGGATTTAATTCCTCCTCAAACTTCTACTCCAAGCATAAGGAACCTTATCAAGAGCAAGAGCAAACACTATGAAAACTTGCATCATAAAGTAGAAAAATTCCCAGGGATGTGCAGGGTTGCAAAACACAGTTAGCCAAGGAGAAATACACAATTTCTGGTCGAATATGTGAAAGTACCATGTGAGACTTCAACTGGTTCATGCTCCATCCTGGCTTGCAATTTTGTGCAAATTTGACAGAGTACAGTGTTTTCTTTTCTGCAACAGATAGCAAATTTAATAGTTTATTATGTAATATGTAGAATATATATTGCTTAAATGACATTAATGTAATATAATTGCTTTGCATGGAAAAGAATCATTAGTCAATTGACATTAAAGTTCACAATGCACTGGAAATGAAAGTTTATCCTCCACCCTGCCCTTTGATCTCTCTCTCTTTCTCTGGTGACATGACTAAATCATTTGCTAGGTATGGCTTAAGTGACAAGGTTTGCCTGTTTGGATTTTGCAAAGTAAGTCTAAAGATTGCTTTAAAGATCATTAATTAAAAGAACAATTATATAAAGAACAGTCGGTGATAAATAAAAAGTACTGCTTCTGGAGCATGCCAATGACAGTAAATGTAAAAAAATGTGGCATTTCAGAAAATGAATGATCATTTGGCCGCTAAGAGCTGATAAAAATTAAAATCTGAAATTGTTGTCTTGCAATTGATCAAAAGAATACTACAATGGTTCAAATTTTGAGTAAATAACAACAATATGGTCAGCAATGCAGAGTGAATAAGTACATTTTGATGAAAGAACAAAGCAAGCGCACCAAATTATAAAACTGAGAGTTAGCATTGAGGAGATAAGCCTTCGGAAAAAATTGCAAAATGCACCAACTGAAAAATTGAATACAATTTATGAATATGACAATACTTTTGCCTATGAATTCTATAGTATAGTCACTTATGGCTAGAAATTTGAGTACTGTAAATGCAATTATAGTCCGGGAGCGCATGACCTCAATAATTGAGGTAAAATATTTGAGCAAAAGAGTGGACAGAATATAGAAAAATCTCATAAAATATGGCACATCTTCGACTAATTATGCATTAAGCAACACCATGCATTGTTAAAGAAATCATCAAAAACAACATTTTTTCTACTAATCCAAGCATATCCATAGAACTAAACTAGGTCTAGACTACAAAACCAGTTGGAGAGCAAAAGGGTATTTAGAAATACAAATTACAAAAAAAAATTACAAAATACACAAATTCCCTAGCACAATATTGAGAAACTAGTCATTCCGCTTGAACATATTCAATGCTTGCACTTTCATCCTCTTCCTAATATAGATTCCTTGTTCTTGTTTTTTTCACCTTAATGTCATGACTCCAACATTTATTCTTAAATGCTAATCCATTGACTTCCTATAACAGAGTGTACCATTATCATTCTTGAAATGCAATTCATGAACTTCTCAATTTTCACAGAAATTATCATAATAAAAAACTACATTAACTATAATTTTATGACAGTCCTATTCAGGATAATAGGCTTTATATAAAATTACTTTCCTTGTTCATTTCCATTAATGTTCAATGTCAATTTAAAAGTTTATTGACAACTGTTGTTTGATTTCTAATCCTGGCCTCAGTATCCTGAATGTGCCTAACAAATCCCCAGGTTTAAACCCATTTGCTAAACAACAAAAAGAGCAAAACCCCATCTTTATTCAACCCATCAATTCCTTTAAAGTTCCCCAATCACAGTCCAAAACAACAAAAACAGCCAATTCTTGAATGTCAAAGCAAAATATAAAAAGCAATAACTGTCTCCAAGAAAAAGAAAATAATAAACAGAAAAGGTGGCAAGCGGGAACCTGAGTGACAGAAAGGGTAGAAGTTTGAGAGAACGTCAAGTCGTTGGCCTAGCCTTGCCGCCTTTGGTTTTGGTTTTTACATTTTAGCAAGGCGACGTGTAGAATGGAAATGGGAACCACCTGTTTGACATGACTGGCGTTTGGGCAACGCTGGTTAAGAATAATTGGTTGATGCTGACAGGTGCCACCCAACTTCCAAAAAATAGACTTCAACTTCGATCCCGGGTTGCAAATTATTTGCTCAAATTAATTAACTAGTCGATGGCATGGCAAACTGTGATGAAATAGATAGTGATGAACGAAAGAATAGAGTACGAGACTAAAAAAGAAAGAAAAGTTTGAGAATATAAAACCGGATAATTTTTATTCATAATCTTGAAATAATCTATTTATATATTTATAACTGATTTTTTAAATTACTCGTAATACTATCTTATTATTATGCATAATTATAGTTTATTTTTTAAATTACTCACACCACTATCGCACTATTACCTTAATTCATTCCCTAAATTATTTGTACTACTATCCCACCATTAATTATAGCTAAATTACTCACACCACTATCCAAAACAACAAAAACAGCCAATTCTTGAATGTCAAAGCAAAATATAAAAAGCAATAACTGTCTCCAAGAAAAAGAAAATAATAAACAGAAAAGGTGGCAAGCGGGAACCTGAGTGACAGAAAGGGTAGAAGTTTGAGAGAACGTCAAGTCGTTGGCCTAGCCTTGCCGCCTTTGGTTTTGGTTTTTACATTTTAGCAAGGCGACGTGTAGAATGGAAATGGGAACCACCTGTTTGACATGACTGGCGTTTGGGCAACGCTGGTTAAGAATAATTGGTTGATGCTGACAGGTGCCACCCAACTTCCAAAAAATAGACTTCAACTTCGATCCCGGGTTGCAAATTATTTGCTCAAATTAATTAACTAGTCGATGGCATGGCAAACTGTGATGAAATAGATAGTGATGAACGAAAGAATAGAGTACGAGACTAAAAAAGAAAGAAAAGTTTGAGAATATAAAACCGGATAATTTTTATTCATAATCTTGAAATAATCTATTTATATATTTATAACTGATTTTTTAAATTACTCGTAATACTATCTTATTATTATGCATAATTATAGTTTATTTTTTAAATTACTCACACCACTATCGCACTATTACCTTAATTCATTCCCTAAATTATTTGTACTACTATCCCACCATTAATTATAGCTAAATTACTCACACCACTATCGTAAACTTACTCATAACTAATCGACACTTTCTTATCACTAACTCAACAAAGTTTTTATGCTTCACATGACAGCTCCCTTTAAGCTCACTTAACATTCTGCCACAACTTCTTTCATGGTTCAATTTTTTTTTTCTCAGTCTAACTTTATCATTTTTGCAATTTCTTTCATACAACTTCTTTCATGGTTTGAGTTTTTTTTTTTTTTTTCTTTCAGCTCAACTTTATCATTTTTGCGACTTCTTTCATGATCCTCATTTTTACAACTGAATGATAACATCACACAGACTTTCAAAAATTTAGCAATTAAACCAAATTCCAATACTTTAAACTTAAAATTAACTTTTTTTGAAATAAAAACTTAAACTTTACTTGAACTTGAACTCCCCATTCACACTTTTTTTCCTGTTTACTTCAAAACTAGGTAAAGCCCTACCCCCAAGGTTGATTCTTTATTTTTTTTTTTAGAAAATAAGAGAAAATTTTATAAAACAAAACCCAAAAAGTTCCTCAATTTAACAATTTCAGTCTCACGTTTAAATGGCGCCCGCGGAGGCAATTTAACATGCAGGACGCCAGGTAAAATACATCTTAGGTTTAGCCAATCCAGACGAGTTAATGGCATTCTTTGTCATCATAAATATAAAATGTTTTCCAAAGACTACTGATTTCTCAGTCCTGTTCCAAATCAGAAACGAGAATCACTTTAATTTGGTTTCAAAAAGAAAACAATCTGGCAGATGGCTCAAAATTGCCAAAAAACTTCACCGCTAAACTTATCGTGCAGCCTGTGCCGGTGCCTGTGCTTGTTCAAGAAGCTGGCTAACTAGCTTGTACGTACGCCCTTGGAGCGCCTTGGTGTGGTCTATCAACTGCTCATAACTGCAGAAATACAATACCAAAATCAAAAGTCATTAAGACATAAGGAACCAAATAAACAAATGGTTTATGGAGAAGATGTGGAGAGAACATGACAAATGAGGAAAAAAAAAAAAAAAGGAGTCCAAGCACTTGTGGCACAATTCAAAGAACAATGGATGCTGCACTGTATACTATCACTGTATGAAGGAATCCTTACACATTGGGATGATTAGGCTCCATAAGAACAGTTCCTGTTTTCGAATCAATCTTGGCATCAAGCTTTGAGTTTTGGATAAGATTCACAATCCATCTCTCAGCTTCCTCATAATTTAAATTCAACTTCTCAGCAAGCACCCTTGGAACACATGAAAATTCTGTTAAAGTTAGCTCAAATTTTAAGAAAAGCAACTAGAAGTAGCCAACATATATAAGTTAAAAAATCCTTTAGCCAACTAGTGTTATATCCTTTCAATGAGGTTGCTAGAATGTTGCTTCACATCAAAGTTTGAGATGGCCAATGGGAAGTAACAAATGTTCAATCCAAGTAATCAATACAATAAGTGATACTGTAACAGACCAAGGTGTTCATGTTGTGTCGTTACAAGCCTGATGTGCAGATAAACATGCATTACAGATAGAAAGATTTGATCTGATTTAACTAATGTCTTCTACTAAAATTTCATAAATCCTCAACATCCAATTAGCAAAAGAATTTTCCCTACTCGGAGAACCATAATAACAGGAAACCAACTTGCAAAGCCGATTTTGAGCCCATGGCAATTGATAATTGATATTCAAATAAATCTTTCCTTTCCATGTCATTTATTCATAAGACAAATAAGAATTTTAGATTTATGAGATTCAATTGTTATACAAAGCTAAATTATAAGTTTGAGAAAGCAGGAACTTACCCCATGTCAATGCGCTGATGAATTCTACAGTATGTCTCAAAGATAAATAGACGAGCATTCTCAAGGAACTCATCTCTTAATGGTACAGTAGAAAAGTTACCTTCTTCAACTCTTTTTCCAAGGAAGGGATCATTCAATATCACCTACATCAAAGTAAGGAGAAATAAACAAATAAACAAAGCAGGCTGTACACAGAAAGCCTGCAATTCAGAAATCTAACTATTGCAAAAGGCATCCAAAAAGATGATGGAACTCCAAGCTAAAACATTTTCTAACAATCTTCTGGTAGGAAATATCAGCAATTGAGTGACATTGAGAAGCTTAATAAAACCAGTTGATAGAAAATATCAGAAATCAAACTTACTTCTTCACACTCTCTCATCTTCTTTTGTGCTCCATCAAAGTCATAGTAGAAATAAACACATGTCAAAAACTCTGTGATAGGATCTTTGTAAGAGCACTGCTCTTGCTGAATAACCTTAATAAAATCTTTGAATTGAGGTCTTCTCCTTTTGTTGACAATAAAAGCAGTAGCTAAGTATCTTAAAAGATGGGGAGAACTGGTTTGAATGGCATTTAGATATCTGGAGAGAAGAGAGACCAGGTTGTTAGATAGGCAGCTAGACAAAAATTTGATAACAGATAAACAGAAATGGAAATTTGCAGAAAACATTAAGGTAAGAACAAAAATGTAAAGAACAGTGGAAAGTTTTCAAGTGAAAAGAGACATGTGACATCTAATTCCAACCACTATTCCCCTTAGGCATTGATATTCCGACCACGAGCAGTCTAGCAGGCATCTCACCCACTTTTATTGCAATTCGCCTTGAAACTTTGACAAAAAATTTTGCAAATTATTGGCAGCATCAAGTTAACTTTTCATATTAAGCAACAACACAATCAAACAAATATATAATAGCAATTCCATAAATTTTCTAAACATGTTTGATTGCAGGGCAATCATAAACTGAAGCATATATTAATGCAGTGGAAACTAGACATAGCACAGAAAAACTGAAAAATGCACAAAGGAAAAGTAGATGAGCACTACTATTCTCATGAAAATGTTATACAAAGTAAAATGATACAAATAGCGTTGCTAACAACATCAATAATGCCGTCATCAGCAACAAGACCGGATATTGACAATCTGCAAGATAAGGATGCAGTAGAAACAGTAGTAGGAAAATGAAGAGACTACATAAGCAGATAATTTAAGAAGTTTGAGTCAGTTCTAAAAGTGACATACTTCTCTTGATTAAACAGGTCAATGATCTGTGTTCTTCCATTTTCATGGTTGAAAAAGATGAACAGGCTCCAATGCATCAGCCATATTCTACTCTGTACTTGGTTCAAGGGTGATGAGAAACTCTGCAGCAAGAACAAAAAAAAAAAATTAGAAATAAATGAGACAATGAATCAAGGAGAAGCACATTGTTAAAAACCCATACAACCAAATCAAGAGCATAACAAAACAACCTTAGAATCGATTATTTCTTTCAAGCGATTAAGTTCTTCAAGAGCAATATCCCAGTTTTGCATTAGTATCTCGGCTGCCAGCTTTCCCCACAACGCACTCAAACCCCTTTCACTGTTTGTGCATAAAGCCCTATACTGATACAGATAGTCAGCAGCACCCGAGTAGTTGCCACACTCAAACTGGAACTTCGCATACTGATATAATGCCTCTATTTGATCTGGACCGATCTGTTAAGACAAAAACCCCTCTTTAAATTTCTTTTAAAAAAAAAATTCAATCCTTGAGACTTTTTATTCAATCCAAGAATGATTTTTGCTTTTATGTCCAAAAAAAAGTATACATTTTCAAATTAATTTAGAAAAAAAGGAATCGAAAAATATGCATAAATTCAACGAAAATTAAGGAAGAAAAACAATAATAAAGCAGACCTGGTAACGGTCATTGAGCATCTGGAGATTATAGTGTTTATCAGCTCTTAATTCCTGAACAGCATTAGGGTTTTGCAAGAAAGAGACCAAAGGAGCGGCAGCATCTTCCAAAGCCTTAAGACGAGCGACAACCTCGGCTCTCCTTTCGATCATGTCCTGAGGGACATCATCGGTGTGGTAAAGGCTCTTGTGGATGTCCATGGCGTAGTCGACCATGTTGGTCTTGTTCAAGAGCTCGATCTTCGCTTTCAAGATCTGCTCGTCCGGATGTAGCTGTCGCTCTTGCAAGAATTCCAGCAACGGAAACACCAAGTGCCTGTCCAGATTCGGCGCAATTTGTGGGGTCAAGTCGTAGCTTGCCATTGCCTCTGCTCCCTCTCTCCGATTAGGGTTTAACCCAGGCTCCTTGGTTGCGGTCCGGTTATGAGAAAAAAAAAACAACGCACGAACAACCAAGATTGGGATTTGTTGTCTTTTCGTAAAATACCACAATTGCCCTTGAGTTTTTTGGGAAATATCACTAACACCATGAGTCCAGTCTTCCACTCCTGCTTGTATTCGGTCTGACTTGGGCCGGTCTGTGATAATATCAATTATTAAGTTTGCCTTAATTTGATTACAGAATATTATTATATTAATAATAAATAAATTATTATTTCATATTATTAAATGTTTTTTATTTAATTAAAATTTTAAAATACATCTTAATATATGTGACCATTCTTTAATTTCATTAATACAATTTGAAAATTAAAAAATGATATTAGATAATTTTTTAAATAAGTTACTAAGCTAAAACTTTTGACAAAAAATAAAATGTCCAATATAGAAACTTGATATGTGAAAAGCTTTAAAAAATCATTACGAATCTTTTAATAAATGCATTTTAATTCATTTGAATTATTTTTTAAAATTTTAAAAATAATTATAATTATTTTTATTATTTATCTTAATATTCTCAATTAAATCCATATATAAGATAATAAATCTTTAATTACCATCATTATTATATAAATTAATTTTGTATTCTTTTTTTTAATTATAAAGATTCAACTCTTAAATTACATTTATACGTAAAAATATTCACTTCATTGCAAATGTATGTACACTATTATTATAAAGATGCAAAAAAAAAAATCAAGGTGTATCTAATAAATTTATAAACTTATGATAAAAAAAATTAAAATGTGCATATTAAGTGATTTGTCACACAATATAAATATAAATATCATAAAAACAAAATAAAAATTATAGATATATTAAGTTTCTAAAGAATATTATATACAATAAAATTATAATTCAATTTGTTAACCCTTAACCATGCATATACGGATCATATATATTCAATTTCTGGTGTTTCGTAGCAGAAATCGGAACAAAATCTGCATTGCAAATTTCGTTTCATTGTTTTCCTTTTGTGGGTTAAAGATCATCCATCTTGCATAGGATTGGAAGATTCTCTTTCTTTCCTAAGAAAAAAAAGAAAAGAAAAAGTTTTGCCACTCTATAAAAAAAATCCATCCACTCCAAAAACAAAGACAAAGCAAAGCAAAGCAACGTATTTAGCATTAGGTGCTGTAATTACAACTGCGAAAAGGCCTTTTCCTTGCTCTCTTTTGCTTCTCTCGTTCTATCCTCTAACTCTGTTCGTCTCAATTTTGTTCCTGATCAACAAGGTATATACATAATCATATACATGTATTAGTTTTTGTTACATAATCTGTAAATATGAATGTTTTTGTTTTATTTTCGGGTGTAAAAGCATGTATGAGCGGAGGGGATGAGTTTAATTACGATGAAGGTTCAGGAAAGGGGCCATCGTGTTGGGGTTCAGTCAAGCAGGAGTGGAAAACCTGCGGTACTGGAAAATCGCAGTCTCCCATAGATATTCCTGTTGGAAGCACTCTGATTTCTCTTACTTTGGGTGATTTGCAACGTACCTATGCATCAGGTTCGGCTGTTTTGAAGAATAGGGGACATGACATTGCGGTAAATTAGTTAATTCTTGATACTATATATATATCTGTTTGAATATTGCTTTTCTTAATTTTCTACACTACTGCCATGTTCATGTTTTCATTTGATATTCATAAACCAAGCATGCATATCTTTTGTGTTTTTTTTTTTTTTTATACCAACTGAAAGTCTGAAACAAATGGAATCATACAAATTGTTTTATTAATTTGTTTCATATTTTAATGACTAAAAATCAATTTTAACGTCCATCTAAATAAATTTTTAATTTTTTTTTACCAAACAATTCATCAAAATCCGTTGTTAGTTTGTCCTTATCACATCTATATATTCGATAATATTTATTAATATTTAATTTAGGTGTTGTGGAACGGAAATGCTGGAAAAATTAACATAAATGGGACTGATTATGAAGTAGTTCAATGCCATTGGCATTCTCCATCGGAGCACACATTCGGTGGAACTAGATATATAAATATAAATATATATATATATATATATATATATATATATATTAGGCTTATGAGCTGAGCTTTGTGATTACTGTAATTAATTTTCCATGTTAAATTCAGAATATATAATCAGTTTATCATTTATATTGATGTATTTGTTTTTTTCTTTTGGCTTACAGGTATGATTTGGAAATTCACATAGTTCATCAGAATGCTCAAAATCAGATTACCGTTATTTCAATGGTTTTCCAAATTGGCCAAGCTGATCCTTTCCTTTCCTCGGTATGCTTGATAAGATTTGTTTTATTCTGTTTATATCTTCAAACTTAATATTTCTGATTTCACTCCTGTTTGAAATGAGATATATACATGCATATGTGGATTATAGTATTAATAATGGCTGCATACATAATATATATTAAATAAAATACATAGACACATAATATGTATCTGATTTTGTCAATTATTGTGTAGTAATAATTTCAAAGATTATTATTTATTTTCTTCTAGTGGTTGAGCAAATAATTTCATGGTAATATATACATTTAATAATTAAGGACTAACCTAACTTTATAAGTAAAGGTCACTCTTCTCTTTTTTTGAGACTATAACGATAAATCTCCCAGTCTCGACATGGATAATACCTTATAGCGGGCACAATATCCGAACATTCCTTATTTATGTCAACAATATTGATATGTTACATCTACAATGTGTCAATCAAAATGCTTCAAAAAGCAACAAATAAACGTTTTTTTTTTTTTTTTTCTTTTATTGCATGTGCCTAAATCCTTGTATTTTAGATTGGGGGATTAATTTCAAGTTCAAACTATACATAGTTCGGGTGGTTGGGTTTTTTTTCTGATCATAGTTTTCATTGTTTTGGCCTATTTTTGGTTGCAGCTACTGTCATCCATAGAAAGTATAGGAGGGGGAGAGAAAGACCTGGGGAATGTTAATCCAGTGGATATTGGATTTGCTGGCAGAAACTACTATCGATACACTGGCTCACTTACAACTCCTCCATGCACTGAGGGTGTTGTTTGGACAGTCCTCCAAGAGGTTAATTGTTTTCTTATGGATCTCTTCTTAATTTTCTGATCATTAATTGGAATGCTTTATTAATTAACTTATAATTATTATGTGTTACACAGGTGAAGACAGCCTCGACCGAGCAAGTTCACGCTTTAAAAGATGCCCTTGCTGAGGTGATTAATAAAAGTAAAAATAATAGAAAATAAAAAACAAATATAACAAAAAGTGCAAAAATATTTACCTAATGGAGTCTTAATGTCTTCAGAAAATTCAATTCAAGCATGGATGATTTATAATTTTATATGACCATCAATTATATAATTTGTTGATAAAATATTCAGCCATTAGTTTTTGTCTTTAGAGTTCGATCCTTACAATCTCAAAATAATAATAATAATAATAATAATAATTTTTTTCGCTCGAGAATACCTTTAAGAATACAAGATACACATTTTGTCAGAAGCAATTGGTCGAGCAAATTCTACACATATACACATAGAAAAAAATGTTTCATTATAAATTTACTATTGCAGTTTACTTCTGATTCTTTTTTATTTACATGAATTTAAGGAAAATTCAAGGCCAAATCAATCGCTGGGTGCAAGACCAGTGTTGTTCTATGATCCAGGGGAGAGTGCTGCTTGACCTTAGCTCCATCAAAAACCAAAGAGCAGTTGTTACTGTACCACGTATTTGCATTATCTCCCTTGGTGTATTGTAGATTTATATTGTAGAAAGTTTAATAATAATATACATGATCTCAATGGAATCAAGCTTTATCTTATTTAATATTTTTTTATTTGAAGTTATTAGAATTAAAATTTGAGTTATTGAAATTAAAATTTTAATATTTTATAAATAAATAATACGATTATTAATATTATTTTTTTAATATTTTTTATTAATTACTTTCTCTTATTTGTTAAATTTTGATACAGAACATGGAAGCACATGGTATGGCTAATTGTGTAGTACCAAGCAACAAAGTAACTGAATTTAGTCTGCAAACTTTATAATTTTTCAATGTAAAAATGTTTTAAGGAAACAAATAAGTAACTTTTCAATGGGAAGGCTGTTGGCTGTTGGTACTTGGTAGTCATGGCGTTTGTATTTGACAGACAGGAAATTTCTTAGACAAATCCAGAGGGTCCACAAGTACCATATGCGCACCATCACAGTAACTGAAGAACGACCCTAGCTGGCTGGTAGGTTTCCCTGGAAATACATATATTTCAACCATAAAACATAGAACCTAACATACAAGAACAAACATTAAATTCTATGGGGACCAGATTTCCGTATTCTGCTAATCCCATCACTTTCCAGCAGAGAGTTGGAGAAGGAGAGGACGCCAACGTTTGCTCTTGTCTTTGACATGTTTACCCTCACAGATTTGCTGGTGGCTGGTATTGAATGGACCAGCAACAGCCACTTCTCCTCATCATTCACAGTATTTTCTAACCACATAACATTTCAACCATGTAAAATCCTTATCTTCTTATTCTTCTTCTTCTTCTTTCCAACTTTCTGGAAGAAACTCAAACTCCAGCATCATAAATACTTTTCTGGCAGAACCTGGATTCATAGATTTAGTTTCTTTTCTTTATCTTCAACGATATGGCAAAAGAATACTCAGCAGGAGGCCGTAGGAATTCCAATACTCAGCTTTTGGAAGAACTAGAAGCACTCAGTCAATCCCTTTACCAATCCCACACATCCACCACTCGAAGAACGGCTTCGCTCGCTCTTCCTCGTACTTCAGTTCCATCTATTGATGAGGCCACCGAAGCTAAATTTGAAGATAAGTCGAGTACCAGGCCTTGGTCCAGGCGTATGTCCTTGTCATCTTGGCGTTCCAGACCAAAACCTGATAATGAACATGATCAAAAGGATCAAGCCAGGAGATCAAATCAGACAAATCAGTTGGAAGAAAAATCAGTGTCAACAGAAAAGAAAGGAATATGGAATTGGAAGCCGATTAGAGCTCTATCACATATCAGGATGCAAAAGTTGAGCTGTTTGTTGTCTGTTGAAGTTGTAACTGCTCAAGGCCTTCCTGCTTCCATGAATGGCCTGCGACTTTCCGTTTGTGTGAGGAAGAAAGAAACCAAAGATGGAGCTGTTAACACCATCCCATCACGGGTATCACAAGGAGCTGCGGATTTTGAAGAGACTCTATTTCTTAGGTGCCATGTATATGGCAGTTATGGCAATGGAAAGCAGCTGAAATTTGAGCCCCGCCCGTTCTGGATCTATCTGTTTGCAGTTGATGCTGAAGAGCTCGACTTTGGGAGAAATTCTGTGGATTTGAGTCTGCTTATTCAGGAGTCCGTGGAGAAGAGCTATGAAGGAACTCGGGTTCGGCAATGGGACATGAGTTTCAATCTATCAGGAAAGGCAAAAGGTGGAGAACTCATTGTGAAATTGGGATTTCAGATCATAGAAAAGGATGGGGGAATTGGAATTTATAATCAAGCGGAGGGATTGAAGAGTAGCAAATCTAAGAATTTCACATCATCTTTTGCTCGTGAGCAATCCAAAACATCTTTTAGTGTCCCAAGTCCAAGGATGACTAGCCGATCAGAAGCTTGGACTCCTTCAAAGACAGGAGTTAGAGCTGATCTTCAAGGATTAGATGATTTGAATCTTGATGAGCCGGCCCTGCCTCCTTCATCCTCTGTCGCCATTCAGAAATCAGAAGAACCAGAAAAGATTGAAGATGTCGACCTCCCAGACTTTGAAGTTGTAGACAAAGGAGTTGAAATTCAAGAGAAAGAAGCAGGGGAAGCAGAATCTGAAGAAACTGATGAAGATAAGTCAGCTTCAAGCGAGGTTGTTAAGGAGATGATGCATGACCAGTTACACCTAATAAGATTAACAGAGCTTGATTCAATTGCCCAGCAAATAAAAGCTCTTGAATCTATGATGAGGCATGAAAAAATAGTGAAAACAGATGAAGAAACAGAATCACAAAGACTAGATGCTGACGAAGAAACGGTTACAAGGGAATTTCTCCAGATGCTGGAGGATGAAGGAAGTAATGAGTTTAAACTCAATCAACCTGATATTCCACCTCTACAGCTTGACAAGGCTGAGGAATCTAGCGAATCTGATTCAAAGGTTTATCTACCAGATCTAGGAAAGGGGTTAGGCTGTGTGGTTCAAACAAGAGATGGGGGCTACTTAGCTGCTATGAATCCTTCGGATTCCTTGGTTGCAAGAAAAGACACACTAAAACTAGCAATGCAGATGTCAAAACCAATGGTTCTTCCATCAGATAAATCATTGAGTGGGTTTGAAATATTTCAGAAGATGGCAGCCGTTGGACTTGAGAAACTCAGCTCACAAATTCTATCTTTGATGCCTCTAGATGAAGTTATGGGTAAAACTGCCGAACAGATAGCTTTTGAAGGAATTGCCTCTGCAATTATCCAAGGAAGAAACAAGGAAGGTGCTAGCTCAAGTGCAGCTCGCACCATTGCTACTGTGAAAAGCATGGCAAATGCAGTGAGCATAGGCAGGAAAGAAAGGATTGCAACTGGAATTTGGAATGTGAATGAAAACCCATTGACAGCAGAGGAAATACTTGCTTTCTCATTGCAGAAGATTGAGGGAATGGCAGTTGAAGCCTTAAAAATACAAGCAGAAATAGCAGAGGAAGAAGCTCCTTTTGATGTTTCAGCACTCATCGGAAAGACAGCAATAGATAGTGAGAAGGATCAGGATCAGGATCAGCCACTGGCTTCTGCTATTCCACTTGAGAATTGGATTACAAATTACAGTTTAATTTCTTCTGAAGCTCAGCTAGAAGACCCAGAAACACTGACGCTTGCAGTGGTTGTGCTGCTACGGGATCCCTTGAGGCGATTTGAGGCAGTTGGAGGCCCTATGTTAGCACTCGTTCATGCATCAGCCGCTGACATTAAAACAAACAAGTATGATGAAGAGAAGAGGTTCAAAATGACAAGTTTGCATGTTGGAGGCTTGAAGGTGCGAACAGCAGGGAAAAGGAACATATGGGATACTGAGAGGCACAGACTAACTGCTATGCAATGGCTGGTAGCATATGGATCGGGGAAGTCGGGAAGAAAAGGAAAACATGTGATGTCAAAGGGACAAGATATGTTCTGGAGCATTTCCTCAAGAGTAATGGCTAACATGTGGCTCAAAACAATGAGAAATCCAGATGTAAAGTTTGCAAAGTAAAGAGATTTTCTAAGAATGATTAATTCTAGAGAAAATTCATGGTTGCATCTATAACCTTCTAGGCTTCTACTCAGGCAGTAAACAAGGAAAGAAAGCACTGGCACTTGGAGCAGATGGTTCTTTCTTCCCTGCCAAAATTGCAGCAGTAACTTTTATTCAGATTGAAATTTAATAAAGCTTTTCCAAAACGAGATTGATGCTTGTATGTAGCTTTGTTTGAAGATATTCACAATATTATATGCACTTTCTTTGCTTTCATTTTTCTTGAATTGGTTGGAACTTGTCAAATGCAATAATTCCATTTATGTACGAATAATTTCATTTTTCTTATATTCACATTTAATATTCATCATACAACTTGATATTCTGACAAGCAAAACATCATGCTAATGCTTATACGAAAAAACATCCATAATCAATAGGCAATAATAGTCACAATAGAAAGGATCAAACAAAACTTGTTAATCATATGCCAAGCACTGTAAAAGTTGCACCAATGGCTGCAGAAAGATCACATAAAATAAGTTCATTTTCAAGGTTTATTAAATAATTGCATGTAGAGCAACATAAGCATAGAACAAAGGTTAAAGGCAGAAACTCAAACAGGAGCTTAATGAAAATTTTCTCGACGATTCAGCAGTCAATAACACTATTAGCCTTGCAGCAAAACTAACAGCCCTTAATGCAAAATGTTAAACATGGCACACCAACAGAAAAATGGTGCTGTTAAATCAAAAGTAATCGCTTAAAATAGTTTCAATTTCCTTTTATCAGAACTTCAATTTTGAGTGTGAAAGGAGAAGTCTTTATGTGTCTTTTGTTGTATCAAAATTCTGATAATAAGATGAAAAGGAACAATAAAAAAAAAGGGAAAAAAGGAAGAAAATATTTTAAAAAATCAAAACAAGAGACATTGATTCAGAAGAAAACAAGGGCAACCCATATTTACTTCTTGAAACAATGAAACAACAATAATTGGGCTAACATCCCATGGCGCCTCATTTTTTCAGCACTAGATCCAATTCAAATGGATCACTGTCCTGATAATCTTGTTAATATATAATAGCTTAACAAATTCAACTGCAGGAGAGGAGGTGTTTCAAAAACGGATCAGCTCCCTCCAACGAGCCCTGATGGCAACTACTCATTGAACACTGGACTAAAACATTCAATACAAAATCCTTGCATTTCTTTTTTTGTTTCCAACGTGCTAACTAGTGTCCTTTTTGTTGGAACTTCGAATTAAAAGCCCAACACTCTACCAATTAATCGAACCCTTAGCTATCCAATATATATATATATATATATAATATATATATATATATATATATATATATATATAAAATTTATATATAAAAAATGAAATTTTAAAAAATATTAATAATAATTGACTTAAATATTTTTATAAATTTTTTAAATTAAAAATTTATTCTTAAATATATAATTTTAAGGATAAACTAAATTAATTTAAATAAACTAAATTAATAATATTAATTTAAATAAACTAGATTTAAATCAATAATAATTTAATAAAAAATATTCATAATTTAATGATAAATCATTCATAACTTAATGGTAAATTATTCATAAATTAATAATAAATCATTAATAATTTAATAGTAAATCATTGATAATTTAGTAGTAAATCACTGATAATTTAATTGTCAATCATTAATAAATTTTTTTATATTACAAGTTGTCATAGATTAAACCTTGATTACTAGTAGAAACGAAGTCATAACTTTTATTTTGGGGTTAGGATAAATCTATCATAAACCTATTCAATAAAAAATTAGTAAAAAATTTTAAATTTAAATAAAATGATATTATTATTATATTAATTATCTCATATATTATTAGTAGACTTTTTCAATTTCATGTTTTATAGTTGTAAAGTATAAATAATAACATATATATTAGTAAATCAATGATAGGTTAATAAAAAACAAGTGATAACTTAATAGTTAATCATTAATAATTTAATAATAAATCAATGATAATTTAATTATAAATTAGTGATAACTTAGTAGGAAATCAGTTTCAATTTAATAGTAATTAATTGATAAACTCCATAATAAATCATGAAGAACTTAGTAGTAAATCAATAATAATTTAATAATTAATTATTGAAAACTTAAAAGTAAATTAATATAATTTAGTAATAGTAAATTATCAGTAACTTAAGTATATGATGACACAAATTTTATCAATAATTACCAAAAGTATATCATAAGTTATCAAAAAATTACTAATTTTGATAACTTTTGATATGTTTTGGTAATCTTTGTTAAAAGTTTCATAACCTTTAATAAAATTTTGATAACTTTCGATACAATTTTGATAATCTTTGATATTATTTAGGTAACTTATGATATAATTTTTTTTAACAATTGATATAATTAAAATTTTTTAATCCCTTGAAATATTTTTTAATATATTGTTTTTACACTTCAGTAATTAAATTTTCTTTTATATTTTTTTCCTTCAAAATTTTATAATTATTATTCCCATGAACAAAAACTGATATCAAATCAATTACACCATTTTCACCAACAATTAGTATTATGTGATTCATTGAATACTTTAATTGGATTTTTAACCTATAAAATTAAATAATTCAGAAAATGGTGGAGCTATCAGTAGCTTAAGATTGGTTACTGTCAAATTACCATGAGAATTATTTACCTTAATTGAAACAATAATTGTTTTAATTTTCTCTTAACTTTTATCTTAATATGTTTATATATTATTAATTTATATCTCAAGCTTATTTAATATTTTTTAATTATATTAAATTGCTCGCTTTTTTATCATCTAGGTAGTTGAATGATCTAATATGAATTATTTTCAATAAAAAATCATCAACTTAAGTAAAATTAATTGTTTTGGTGAATTCTTGTAAGGTGTGACAAAATTCATTGGAACTATCCTATGAATGTGTTTATACCAAAGTTACATTCTCATAAAAATTTATGGTGGTAATGCTGAAAATGAAATCATTATAAATTATATAGATATTACATAACAAGTTTGTTATTTTTAGAATTGAAATTTTCTTAAAAAAACATAACAAGTATCAAATTTAGAATTTTATTTTATTTTTAAAATTATGTATTTTACTATTTTTATATAATAAAAATTTATGTATAATAAAATTTTTTAAATAAAGAAAAATTAAACATTCAATTGATAGAACGTACAAATATGTTAAATTGATGAAAGTACAAATGAGAGATTATCCTAAGTAAAAAAATTAGATGAGAGATTGAGTGATTATGTATAACTCTATCTTTTTTATATGACAAAGAAGGTTAGTGCTATATGATGTTCAATGAAAAAATATATAAATGTATTGGTCTCAAATTTCTTTAGGATTAACATGAAACTCTTTTATTTTGAAAAATATTGTATACTCCTTCATTTTTTCTTTTATATCAATTTAAGAATATTCATAGTTGTATCAAAATTTTTAAGATTGCTATATTAGGTAATATTTATTCAAAAGAATTTAAATTTATCAAATTAATTATCACTATTATATTTAATATAAAAATATTATTATAAATTATAATTTAATTAAACTTAAAAGTGATTTAAAGGCATTCGTTAGCAATGTTTATTTGATAAATCTTTATTTAATTTTGAATTTAGTAATTCAATCATTTTGAATTTTCATTATTTTGAGTTGCATTTTAGACTTAAGATAAAAGACCAATTAAGTTGAGTTAAGTTTTATCATCTATTTCTATTCATAATGCTCTCAATTACTTATGCAACTTAGCAAATTTAACTCAATAATTGGTGCATGTTTTTCTTTAGTTAAAATGCTGAATTTAAATCATCCTAAATCCAAATAAAAAAAGTATATTCAATTACTTATAATTTCAATTTCATTTTAGAAGTGCTTTTAAAATTAATTAATTAATTCAACCACAAATAATGAAGGGAAAATTTTTGAATAAAAAACTTTTAAATTGTTCTGGAAGATGAATAAAAAATATTAGATTTTGATTAAGTTATTATTTCAATTTGGATTTTGGTTATATTCAATCATTTTCGGTTTTAAATAACTACTAAGTTATTGACTTTTAAAATAAATTGAAATCAAGTTAGTTTATTTTTATAATTATATATATTATATTATTTTTAATTAAATTAAAATTTAAAATGAGAAAAAATTTTGTCTATATTCAATTTAAGTTTTGAATTATTTCAAATTTGAGTTGATTAATCCATGCTTTTTTAACTATACTTTTATGATACAAGTAATAAATTTTAAAATAGAATAAAAACAAAACACGAAAAAAATTTTAGTGTAAAAGTGTTGGAGATACTAATAATAATTTTAGAAAAAAATTCTTATGTACAAGTCTTACAAAGATTAATGAATATATTTCCTTTTGAGGATTTTAAAATTCATATTGCAAAAATGTTAATCTATATTAATGAGTTTTGTATTCGTTCATTTGTTGATTAAGTTACTATTATATAGGTTGAGGAAACAATTCAAACATTTCATTTGAAAGAGATATCATAATTCATACTCATTTAAAAATACAATATCGAGTTAAATATTATTTGAGTTATTATGACCTTTTATAATATACTTTATTCTTTTAAAATGGAGAAGTTGATTAGCATCAAAATATATTGAATATGATAATAACAAGAAAGCAATAATTAAAAATATGCAATAGTTTTGTATAGTAGAAGAAATTTTTTATGGAGAATGTGAATGTAATTATTGTGAATTTAATATTTTTTAAAATTATAATTTGTTTAATTTTTATGAATTTTATTTAGTAAATTTGTTCTCATTATTTTTATCACATATATAACCAATTTTTTATCCAAAATTATATACTTAAAGATAGAAACATAAGGCAAAGTTTATTACTTTTATTGGTGACAGAACACTTTATATTTTTTAATCTTTTATATGCAATTATACATCAATAATAGGTATGAAAACATATATACTAATATTTTAATTAAATTATTAATAAAACTTATCTCAATATGTACTATTTTATCATGAACTAAAAAATTTAATCTTTTATATACAATTATACATTGATAACAGGTATGAAAACATATATACTAATAATTTAATTAAATTATTAATAAAACTTTTCTTAATATGTATTACTTTATCATAAACTAAAAAATTTAAGAATATCTTAAAAATATTGACTTAATTATATTGTATATATTTATTTAATTTACTTTTAATATTAACATTAATATAAAAAGTTATGATTTTAACTTATTATTACGTATTAAACTACTGATAGTAAATTAAAATTATTTACTCATATTTTTTAAATCATTTACACTTGAATTTTTTTCTTCTTTCTTTATTTCTCTATCTTACAAATTACATCATCTAGTATATATTTTGATTTTTTTTTAGATTTACATAAATTAATGATAACATAATAATGGATAATTAATAACTTAATAACTAATTATTGAAAACTTAAATGTAATCAATATAGTTTAGTAATAATCATAAATAATTTAATAACAAATTACTAATAATTTAATAGTAAATGAATGATAATTTAATGGTAAATAGTTGATAACTTTTTTATATATATGTAATAATGCAATAACAAATACATAATAGCAAATCAATTATAATATAATTATAAACGCATAACAACATAATACTAATCAAAGATAACTTAACAAAAAAAGAGTGATAACTTAATAATTAATTACTGATAACTTAGTAATAAATTAATGATAATTTAATAGTAAATTAGTGATAATTTAATAGTAAATCAACTTTAGTTTAATAGTAATTAATTTATAGTAGTAAACAATAAACAACTTAATCGTAAATCAATTATAAATTAGTAATAAATAATTGATAATTTAGTAGTAAATTAGTGATAATTTAATAGTAAATCAAATTTAGTTTAATAGTAATTAATTTATAGTAGTAAACAATAAATAACTTAATCGTAAATCAATTATAAATTAGTAATAAATAATTGATAATTTAGTAGTTATTCATTGAAAACTTAAAAGTAATTAGTATAACTTAGTAGTAAATTATCGGTAATATAATAGTTAATCATTGATGACTTAATAGTAAATTATACATAATTTAATATAAAATAATAATAATTTAATAGCTAATCATTGATAACTTAATAGTAAATCATACATAATTTAATATAAAGTAGTAAATCAACTTTAGTTTAATAGTAATTAATTTATAGTAGTAAACAATAAATAACTTAATCGTAAATCAATTATAAATTAGTTGTAAATAATTGATAATTTAGTAGTTATTCATTGAAAACTTAAAAGTAATTAGTATAACTTAGTAGTAAATTATCGGTAATATAATAGTTAATCATTGATAACTTAATAGTAAATTATACATAATTTAATAATGAATCATAGATAATTTAGTGATAAATTAGTGACAATTTTGTGATAAATAATTAAAAATTAAGTAGTAAATCAATGATAACATAATAATAAATATATAAAAATATAACAATAAATCATTGATAATTTAATAGTAAATTGATAACTTAGTAATTTACTAATAATATAATAGTAAATTACTAACAACTTAATTGTAAATCAATGATAATTTAATAGTAAATTAGTTAATCATTAATAATTTTTTAGTAAATCATCAATAAAGTAGTAGTAAATCAATTATAACTTTATAATAAATTATCAATAATTTAATAGTAAATCACTAACAATGGTTGGTAAATTGTCTATATATGGCAAATCATTCATAAATTAGTAATACATCATTGATAACTTTGTAGTAAATAATTAATAAGTTAATTGTCAATCATTGATAACTTTTATCATACTTGAAGTTGTAAGGGATTGAACCTTGAGTACTAGCAGAAAAGAGATAAAAACTTTCATTTTAGGGATTAAGATAAACATATCATGAATATATTCAATAAAAATGAGTGAAAAAATTATAAACTTGAATAAAATGATAATGTTATTATATAAAAAAATTATCTCATATATTATTATTGGACTTTTAAATTTCATGTTTCATACTTGTAAATACATAACAACATATTAGTAAATCAATGATAGGTTAATAAAAAATAAGTAATAACTTAATAGTTAATAATTGATAACTTAATATTAAATTAGTGATAACTTAATAGTAAATCAATTTCAATTTAAAAGTAATTAATTAATAAATTTAGTAGTAAATCATAAATAACTTAGTAAATCAATGATAATTTAGTAGTTAATCATTGGAAACTTAAAAGTAAACCAATATAACTTAATAGTAGTTAATCATCAATAATTTAATAATTAATCAATAATAGCTTAAGAGTAAATCATGAATAATTTAATATAAATTAATGATAATTGACAACAAATTATGGTTAATTTTGTAATAAGTTTGTGATGATTTTATAGTAAATAATCAAAAATTAAATAGTAAATCAAAGATAATATAGTAGTAAATGCATATTAATATAATAATAAATTATTAATAATTTATATGTAAATTATTAATAATTTAGTAATAAATCACTAATAATCTAGTTGTAAATAAGTGATAATTTAGTAGCAAATTAGTTAACAATTGATAACTTTGTAATAAATCATTAATAAATTAATAGTAAATTAGTTATAATTTTATAATAAATCATTAATAACTTAATAGTAAATCATCAATAATTTGATAGTAAATCAATCATAATTTAGCAATAAATTATTCATAAATTAATAGTAAATTAATACTAATTAAATAGTAAATTAATATTGATAATTAAACGATATATCATTGATGATTTAGTAGTAAATCACTGATAATATAATAGTAAATCAATAATAATTAAATTGTCACTCATTGATAATTTTTTTAAACTTGAAATTATCAAGAATTGAATCTTGGTTATTAGCAAAAATAAAGCTAAAAATTTTATCTTGAGAGATTAGGATAAACTTACCAAAAACTTATTCAATAAAAATATTTAGTGAAAAAATTCTAAATTTGAATGAAACAATAATATTATTTTATAAAATGAAAATTATCTTATACTAAATATGAACTCACGCTTTCCTACAGAAATTCATTATTAAATATATGATGATACAAATTTTATCAATAATCATCAAAAGTTTATCATAAGTTATTAAAAGATTACTAAAATTATATAAAGAGATTATTAAAATTTTATCAAAAATTACCAAAATTGTATACATAGTTACCAAAATTATATAATAAGTTACCAAAATATATAGAAGGTTTTAAAAATTTTATCAAAGGGTATTAAAGTCAAAATTATATAAAAAATTTATCAAAATTTACTTATATTATATCAAAATTAAAATTAAATTATTTTTATTTATCATTATTATCATAATATCAAAAAATTATTCATTGAATTGAATTTTTAAAAATAAAAATTACAGGAGCATGTGTGTATATATATATATATATATATATAAACAGTGCTTTATTGCTCTTGCCAGAAATTACCCAAAAATTTACCAGGAGTTATAAAGAAGTTTGTACATGCTCTCAGTGAATCTCATGCAGTCCCAAGGAAGTAAAAGAAAGAAAAAAAAAAGGATTTCCCTCTATAAATATCGTCTTTATAATCAATGTCTGTCAGCAAACTGAAGCAAGGAAGACAAATATAATGAAAATGTTGGGTAGCTCTGAATCCACTACTTTTGTTATTCTCTTCATTTCTTCTGTTTGTTACCTCCTCCCCATTGCCATAGCATCTTCTGCTGAAGTTGGTATGTTTCTCTTCTTCCCCTTTTCCTTACTGTTTTGGCAATTGCCATTGCATGCATTTTCTAAGATTCCAGTCAATTCTCCTTTGCTTAATTGATATATCTTCATAAGCCAGATGATCATGGTTTCTTTCTTTCAATCTTTTTTCTAGTTTTATTGAATTTGCGTTATCTGCTCTTACTTCTTCACTCTTCCTTTAAGCTGTTTGATATATGAGAAAGGGAACCCCTGTTTTTCAATTTAAAGACCACCTTTTGCAATTCAGAGAACGGTATGATCAACCAAATAAACCAGGTTCAATATTGCCTTGCTTTTATGAATAGCTATTGTCTAGTCCATGCTTTTGGCCAGCTTCATGTTTCCACTTTGGAAATCTGTTACCATTGCAGAAATTGCTCCACTTCCAACTTTCAACTGAAATTCTTTAATGGAAAAAGAAAAATCATTCCTTTGAACATTATGTATATAGTATCAATTACTGAGATAGAACTTTATAATACAACATTCTTTCAAGTGGAAACGAAATATTTCGTTATTGATTCATTAGATAGACCATAATTTTCCATTTTTTTGTTATCAATATGACTTAAACTAAAATTAACTTCATTGTTTCCAGATGCATACCACCTTGCTCAAGTCTTTCACTGTTTTCCCCATCCTTTTTCCTTTCCTTTATAATGGATATGGTCAAGACTAGCCATCTTTTTCTGTTGTATTTTACTTTGGCATTAATTTTTTAGTAGCCTTAAGACTTCAGGCTTCACTGTTTTTATCTTTAAGAGGGCTTTCAGCAAAGGTCATGGTATAGCAAATCTTGTGCAAATATTCATCAGATGATTGCTTCAGTAAAATGTATTTATAGTTAATGGCATTGACAAAAGTCTAAAATGTTATTCCACCTTTAATTGTTCACTTTCTCTTCTGTCTGGGTTTTATATTCTATCCATAGAATATAAAAACTATTTTCTTTACTTTTTAGGTGCTAATAAGTTGATTCAGTTCAGTAAATACTTTCAGAAGGCTAGACAAGATTGCAGATTCTCCTGTGTTTTATTCTCTACTTGACATTTTATCCTAGATTTTATTTATGTTTGAAGTTAAAGAAAAGAACAGATTCCCCTGTCTCATTGCTCTTATACTTTGTTTTGTTTAGAAGGAAAACATATTTTTACTTAATTGATTTAAAAGTTTTGATGCTTAAATTAAAAGGAATATATGTTTACTTAGTGATTCAAAAGTTTTGACATTAAAAATGTTTCCTTTTGTTTAAATATTGCCACTTGCCATTAGACCCTTGTAATTTTAAACACATAATATGATATAAAAATAGACATGAAAATGATATGATTTTAAATTTTAATAAAAATGTATGAGTTTAGCAAAATCAAAAATATTTTTTGTGTTTGACGTATCGACACGAATTTGATACGATATTATTTTGTGTTTTATATGCATTTGCCACTACACAAACATGATACATATATATAAATTGCCAGGTCTACTGGACAGTTCCTCAATGAATCATAATTAAGATTAAGATACCAGGATGCACTGATTTTTCACTGTTATCTCATGTTATTGAATTTATACTAGTTTTTCTGTTACAACCATTAACCAAAAATTATCCAAGCAAGAAATGAAAGATAGAGAACAATCATGCTTTTTTTTTTTCGCTATGCAATGTGGAAATTTTCTTTTTCTCACTGCTATTTAACTTCATGTGCAAGATTCACCTGTCTTTGAACCCTTCACTGTTGTAAATATCAACAGTATCTCACTTTTTTTCTTTTTTTGGGGTTGGGGGTGCAGAGAATGAAATTCCATTTACTTATACTGAAGGAACTGGTAAGGGGCCAAAGGAATGGGGCCATATCAACCCACACTGGCAACTTTGTGACACCGGAAAATTGCAGTCTCCTATAGATCTCGGTGAAAAAGTTCGAGTTCTTCCTAATCTAGGAAAATTGAAAAGGGACTACAAACCAGCTCCCGCTGTTGTGAAGAACCGGGGACATGACATTACGGTAAAATGTGCTAAAGTCTGCTGATTGTTTTCCTTTTCCATATCAATGATTTTGATAATGAACCAGCTACTGGTGAAAACAAGTTTTAATCACATAAGTAAAATGGTTTTGCATACCCAGCAAGTGCAACCAATCAACTGTACTATATGCTTGCATGATTTTCTTTCAGATTTGGAAATTGAATTTTTTATAAACAGTAACTAACTAGAATACACATGTATTCTCATTCTGCTAGAATTTTCTTTTATAGCAAATCACGCACTATCATCTGTCATCTTTTCTTGTTCAATTCTATTGCGTGATCTGAATACTCCATCAGGTAAAGTGGAAAGGGGAAGCTGGAAAAATTAATATAGATGGGACTGATTATAAACTGCTTCAGTGTCATTGGCATTCACCATCAGAGCACACATTCAATGGAACTAGGTATATCCCCCTCTTCTATACCTCATTAGATTACATGCATCAGCCATTATAAATAAATGCTATCACTTGATTTATATTGTATCTAACAGCCATTTATGTATTATGCCCTAAATTTTGCTTACAGATATGAGCTGGAGCTCCACATAGTTCATGTAAGTGCTCATGGAGAGATTGCAGTTATTGCAATTGTTTACAAATATGGCCGACCTGACCGCTTTCTTACTAGGGTAAGGCAACATTTTGTTTCACACGGTACATGTGTGCATATACTCACACTCCATTGTCTGCATATTCCCTCCACACTTGTTTGCAAGTGCAACAGCTAGCATAACTCTGTGTTTTCATGGATACATAGACCAGGAATTGAAGATAGGCTATAAAGAAATGATGAGTAATAAAAGTAACTTCAATTAGATATTCTTGTGGGGATAATGATGAATGCCACAGTTATGTTAAATGGATTTGACAGATGTAGTAGATGGAAAAGCTTCAGAAAGCAATATAAAACAAAAAATTCCATATATATGTTTGATGTTTAGACTCTTTGTGGATGCATTCCCCAACAACTGTTTCATCTTAGTTCTTTCCTCTTCTTTTTCTTTTTCCTTGTTGCAGCTTTTCCACCACATAAAAACAGTTGGAAATGGCGAGAAATATTTGGGGATTGTTAATCCAGGAGATATCAAATTTGGCAGCAGAAAGTATTACAGATATATTGGTTCACTAACAGTTCCTCCATGTACTGAGGGTGTTGTTTGGACAATTGTCAACAAGGTATTTCACTAAAAAATTTCTTAATTGTATAAACAATAAACACCATATATATGCACACACATGGTCTCTGGTTTTGTTTTTGCTCCAATAGATGCTTCATTAATTTCTTACTGGTTCTATTAGGTGAGGACAGTCTCCCGGGAGCAAGCAAGAGCATTAAGGGATGCCGTTCACGATGTAAGTGTTTTTTAAACCCGACTCTGAGTAGGGAATACATATAAATACCAATGAGTCAAGTACATATGTTGATCTAAATGGTGAATTTTTTCCCGATAAAATGGATAAATTCATTAATTTTTTTTTTACATATTTTAAGTCCCGAGATGAATTTACTTTAAAGTTTGCATATTAATATATATATATTTTTTTCCTTAGTTAATCAAATACTATCCATGTGAATGTTCAAAAGAAAAAGGCTTTTGCGATTGATGAAACTTTGAATGGTTGAATATGTTTTATTTCAGGGATTTGAGGCAAATGCAAGGCCAACTCAACGACGGGATGAGAGACCAGTTTTGTTCTATACTCCGGTGATGAATGGCGGTTCCGCTTAGAATCCGATACATACTATAAAAAAAGAAAAACGAAAAATTGCACCTCATACCATTATATCTCATTGTGCATTAATAAAATAATAACTTTACTCATTAGTGGAATTAGCTTCAACTTTCTTTTTCCTTGAATGTTCAAGTGCATAATGTAAGCTTTGTTTTGCGATGAATAAAATCACATTCCTTTATAAAAAAAAATAAAAAAAATCTACACATTCAGAGCTCTCATTACATGGCCATATGGCCATATGAAAATTATAACATGAAAAACTTGGCAATTGAAATTGACTTCAAAAGAGTGGAAATACAAGTGATTCAAATCAAGCTTTTATTTTAGCTTATATATATATATAGCAACAAAAACTCTAGTCAAAGCATAGTTCAAAGACAGAAATTTACTCCATAAAACGCAAACACACAATCGAAAATAAGTTTTTCATAACCTATGCGATTAGGAATGGCAGAACGGTCAGCATGAATGCTTCGTAAGTAAACGTCGCATTACCACTGTACATGGTGTCCTTCTCCTTGAATTTCTCAGTTAGTCCCTAAACAAAGAAAGAAACATTGATTTACAATTGAATTACCATTACCGGAAAACCAAATTCCAATCAAGTTGAATGAAGAGAGGAAGTAGAAAGTGAGAGCTTACCTTAACTGTAAGGCAGCACCTGCATCAAAAAAAAAAAAAAAAGAAAGGGAAAAGTTAGATTAGTTAATATTATAGACATGAATGATCATTCGTTTTTATGATGAGACTGAAATGTTTCCTAATTTCGGAAATGAAACATAGTGAAGAGCAATCATACTCGATGAAGTTGTCATATTCAATGGCCTTGTTTTTGCCTCCAGTTTTATCAAACTTGGTTACAAGCAAATCCAAAACAACCGGAGAGACTGAAAATCCCTGACTCAAGAGTGCTTCTCTCAGTTCATTGACATCAATTTTACCACTCCTGTCCCTGTCAAATTTCTCAAAGATGGCCTGCAGACCAACGTCGCCGTTTAGTTCTTTCAATTGAATAAACCCATAAATTCAATCAAGAAAAAGGTAAAATTATGTAAATCTAAAAACCAAGTTTCTCAAGAAAATTACCCTCCAATTCTGAAGACTATAGAAGACTGCAGTGAACTCCTTAGGACCTGCAATTAAAAATTTTTAAAAAAAGAAAAAGGTTAATCACATTGCTAACCAAACTTTGAAAGATAAAAATATTTAAAATGTTCATAAAATTACTGCTACATTTAGTCATAGCACTTTTGAGTAATCCGACAAATCAAATACAATTAATTAATTTGAAAGTAATGCATGTGACGAGAATCACCCACCCACCACAATATATTTGACTCAATCAGTAATATGTGGTGGTTCAACAATTCCAATATATAAAAAGACGAAAATAAAATAATCAATTAGACCACTGATTCAATAAAAAGCCTAATTACAAATAACATCATCTATATAGACTGCGTAGGAATGGATAAGGATAGTTACTCGCCAAAAGATTTTTTTAAGCGTAACACCTGCTATCGTTATATTACAATAAATTAACGCCAATTTAGAAATGCTTGAAATTTATTAAAAATTTTATATAAAACTTACATTTATAAATAATTAACGCCAATTTAGAAATGCTTGAAATTTATTAAAAATTTTATATAAAACTTTCATTTATAAATGATAAATTTTTACATAATATTTTATTATAATTGGACAATTATGAGATTATAATAAAAAATTGTAGGCGAAATAAACGCCTTTCAACATGCCTCCACTTGATGCCTGACGCACGTGACACCACTCACAATGGACAGATATATCCCACTAACATTGGCCAAATCTTAAAAAGAGAGTGGCATAATGGTACACCAAAGGGTTATTTTAATCAATTTATTGCATAGAAGTAAGTAATCCCGGCATCAATGGCACGCGGCCCGCACGGATTAGACGTAATTGAACACCAGCGTAAGTTAGTGAAGCTTATAGCAGGCGGCGTACGTTAGACTCCAACAGAAAGTAAAGTTTTTCCTCTACTTGAAACTTGTGATGGAGAAGATGTAATTTCACAATACAAGATAGTAACATAACGATAAAAATAAATAAATAAATAAATTCGGAATTAATTGGATATTTAATTAGGCATGTATAAGGCCTAATTTTGTAATCAATTTTCAAATTGCATTTAATTGTAATTAAATGCATATGTCTTACATTTCCTCACACAAATTTTAAACCATTTTTGTTGATCTTAATTTTCAATCAATGTAAAATTAACCTAATAATTCAATTGCAATTGCCAAATGAAAGCTAAAATTTAGAATAATAATAAAAATAAATAAATAAATAAAAGTAAGATAAAAAGAAACTGACCGATCTTTCTGGTGTTGGTATTAGTGAAGAGATACATGAGCAAATGAACGGTTCTCAAACTGAAGCTTTGATTGTACGAAGAAAGAGCTCTTTGCAACTCCTTATCGTCAATAAACCCACTTCCATCTTGATCAGCTAATTGAAAGCAAGCCACGACGTTAGGATCTGTCCCCGGTGGAAACGCTGAAGGCACCAGAGCCGCGAACGGGCTCGCATAACCTCCTGCAGGAGGATAGCTTCCGCCGTGAACCGGAGGAGCGCCACCGACACCGTACGCCTGGTGCTTGTCCTTTGGTGGCTTCTCCACAGGAGGGGCAGAGTAGGGAGCAGAAGGTGCGCCGTATGGTCCAGAGGCGTATGGGGCACCGTACGGTTGAGGAGGAGGCGGAGCGCCGGCAGTGTATGGAGCGGCTGTGTAGGGCTGAGCCGGAGGGGCACCGTAGCCGTAGCCGTAGCCTGGAGGGTGTTGAGGGTATCCACCGGACATGCTTCGAATAATTATTTGAGCAAAAATGAGCTTTTCACTTTGTTTTTGTGTTTTTTGCGGAGTTGGTTTGTGAAATATTTTATAACGCTGGAGTTTGTCAAAGTAAGTTTCATTTTGTATATTATTAAAAAAAAAAAAATTTAAAAATTCCGCGGCGGCTGATGTGTACTCAAATGAATTTGAATTTTTTGGTAAGAAACCAGCGGTCAATCATAATGGGCAAAGGGTCAAGAATTATGGGCAAAGGGTTGACTATTGAACAAAAAGCAAAAAGCTTATCAAATTACTTAATTTACTTTATATTAGAAAATAAAAATATGCTAATGATTCGAAAAAAAACACCTAATAGACGTGAAAAATGATGGAAGAAGATATTAAAATAATAGTACAAATTTCAATGTCTCTCATTCAAATAATTCGAACAAGTTTCGAAATTTTAAAATAGCATCAACGTCTTTTCTTCGAATTATTTGAATAGTTGTTTTTGAACTTTTTAATGGTATCGATTATTATTATTTTTATAATGTGTGATGTGCTGATTAATGGTTTTTTTGTAGAAATAAAATTAAAGTAAATAAATTATTTAATTTTTTATGTTAAAATAAAATATATCGTATTTGATAATTTAAAATAAGTGATTATAAATCGTACATTCGAAATAATCTCAATAAATAATTATTAATAAGATTTAAATTTAAAATTTTTTTTTATTAAAAAAAATGAACCTTAATTAATTCAACAAATTATTTATTGATTCTATTAATGGTGTTGAACTTATGTTATGCTATCCAAATCTAATCTAATCGATTCGAAAGCATTAATTTCATCCACTGGATTTAAATACAATCAAAAAATATTTTAATCAATCTTGGATAATGAAAAAAAATTCATTCAAAAATTAAAAGTAAAAAAAATATTCTCATTCTCTACCCGATAATTATAGCACTAAACAATACAAAATCTCAAAATTTTCAAAAAATGAATAAAATTTAACCTAAAAACAAAAAAAAATATTTGTAATTATGACAATATAATTAATTAATTACAATCTTGCCATGTTTAATATCTATTAAAATATTGTCAAGTGATAAACTCTTATATAAATTTTATATAAATATAAATTGTGATTAACTAATTGCAAGTGAAATAATTGTAATAAAAAAAATTACAAGTGAAATACTAAAAAAAAAAAAAGAAAGAACCAAAAACCAACGCTGAAAAGGTTTCTTGAATTGTAAATTCTCATTACTAAAAGTGTATTTTAGAGTAACTTTCTTCTTAATATAGTGGAACTCAAATGAAGCTTAGAGTCAACATTCTCACATATTCTAAGAGATTTAGTATCAGACTTTTTTCTTTTAGAAGCAAATGTCAAGCATAACATAGCACCAAAGTTTGGATTTGGCTCCTCCAGTTTAATTATATTGAGATTGAAAAGACACCTCTCTTAAAATAAAATCCGTGCTTGTGGTTGTGACAATTGGATAAGAGAATGTAACGTACTCTGAATGCGTTATGCTTTTTTCTTTTCTTTTCTTTTTTTTTTTTGCATTCTCAACAATTAATATTGCCCGGTCTAGCTAGTAATCATCTTTCTAAATTGATTTTTTGTATGGATTTACTATTCGTTTAAAATTTTACACCATCCTTGTATGTGTAGATTACTGTCTACCGACTCATTTGTAAGGAAACAGTTGAGGAGAAGATTCTTCAGAGAGCTTGTCATGACAGGTGGCCATGTTCAGGGAGATATCTTGCCTCGTGAGGATCATGTTGTATCTTTACTTCTGATGATGCACAGCTGGAGCAGAAATTACGAGAAATGATGAAGGCTTATATAAGAGAAATTTCGGGATATCCTGAATAAAATAATTTGCAAAAGAAGAAATGCTATGTATCTATATGCCAATACTTCTGACCTAATCTGAGACTTTTTTATGCTTATATGTTGCATAGTCCTATTGGTTTGCATCTTGTTATATTAGTTGCTGGAAAGAATGATTTCCTAATTATTTCTGGTTGATCCTTGAGCGCCCCACCTTTCCAACATTGCAAAGCATAGGAAAACTATGTATCCTCTTGGAAGGCTGTTTTGTCCTGCAATTTACTTTTGGTGCTGCTGATAATGTGAAGTTGAGAATGAACTCTTTAAACAAAGACTTTCTGTGTGTTAACAATTTAATTTATTTACCTAAATTTATGTGCAGAGGAAAATGCTTCTGGTAGGCAAACTTCTGTCAAGCAAAGGAATTCTCAGAAAATGAGTGAATCTAGTCCTATCCCATATGGACAATGAGTTGGATAAAATCCTTCAAGATGATGACTTGTAATCAGAGAGACCCTAGAAGCCAAAGAAGAGTGTAAATGAAACCCTAAAACCAGCAAATACTACCGCAGCCACACCAGTTTCAGAGCAAGTTCAGTATCCGCCTGGGATTGAGTTTGCTCCTGGCCGGTGGTTTTAGGACTGAAATGGAGTATAACAACTCAAACCATAGTAATATATTGAGTAAATGTTGTTGGTTTAACAACAATTGATATTTTTATCAATAACTCTACTTTTGAGTTCAAAGGACTAACGAAGAAATTTTCAAATATTAATGGCATTTCTCTTATTCGTTTATGTGCTTAGTTTAAATTAGAGCTTAGGAGCTTGAGCATGGTGCAGATGTGATCATCAATGAAGGTGGAAATGAAGAAGCAGGAGTGATCATAACCAGGCTGCAATAGCAATAACAATGGATCATTAACACTCCTACATGCCTCCTCAAACTTGTGTGCCAGAAGTTGGTCATATGAGAATTTATCGTCCTCCCCCTTCACCCACAAAAAGAAAAAAGTAAAATTGAAATTTGTCGTCCTTCCCTCACTCATCCTCGACTGAAAAAGAATGCCTAAAAGTATGGTTCATATGATCCTTCTGGCTGTGCTACCAGGTTTCTGATTTCTGTCTAAATTGTAATCCGCAGATTTTTCTTTTTTGTTTGAACTAGTTTCCTTGTCAGATGAAAGAATTGTCCAAATCCTAAAATTATCCCCATCGCCCATAAATATTGATGTATGGTAGGTAGCAAGCAATGAGAGCAGTAACCACTAAAATTATCTTTGGCAAAATAAATATGAAAACGAAAAAAATATATCATTGGTAGAAAGTAGTAGAAACTAGTACTTGTGAAAATTTAATAAACTTGAAGGCACTCTTGAGACAGAAGGAAAAATAAGACATCTAAGCTACTTTAAAAAAAAAAAAAAAGAGTTAAAAATAGACAAAGAGTTGTGTGTCATGTTGGGTGACACAGACACCTGAATAAGTGACATTCTGCTCTGGTCTGATCGATCAGAATGATAGCAGATACATCATGAAGCTTTCAGATCAGGTAAGTGGCGTCATATTCAGTTATGTTAATCTCCATAACAAGATATAAAATTAGGTAAAAATGAAGGGATTCATCGGTCAATTTGACCCACAGGCATGCAGACACTGACTGCAAAGTATAATTAAGCACAAATAAGGGAAAAATGCAAGTAACTAAGAGCAAAGATGAATGCACATCAAGTTGTCCTGTAGACAAAAAAAAAAAAAAAGAAATTCTAAGAAGTCATTAAGCTAGATAATAAATTAAAATCTCTACCGTCAATTTCCATATACTTATCAAGGTTCTTCAGATAGATTATGAGAGCACCATGTCCACCCATATAGAATGGCCAGAAATAGATGCTTCTGATGTGTCAAGTTAACGGAAATTTTCACTTAGAAGTTTTAATGGCAGTTCTTTCACAACATAATCGTACATACGCCAGTTATTGGATCTATAGTTGTCATGATCCATTTTGATGCTTCGAAACGATAAAAATCTCATTCGATTGAAACCTTAGCTTCTCTTTTTCTATTCCCTACTCGAAGAAATACATATCGCACATGACTCAGTCTGTAACATAAAACTGAAGAGGCACATTTTTTCTGCAGGAAGAGTTCTGTAGAATTAAGTTACGAGAGAGAAAACAGTTTGATACAGGGTATAAATGGAAAACAAAGGAAATCAGCTCTGCACATTTTAATAGATAAAATAGAATAACGCGTTGTGGCCAAAGAAAAAAAAAAGAATGACGCGTTGCTAGCTAGCTGGACAAACATTCATGGAAAATATAGGGATGTAGCCGGCTGATTTTCTCAAGAAAATGTATTGATGTTTATATATTTGTTGTTTTCCTTGCTTCCCCATTTCTCCAAGCTACTCGGTTAACATAAATATATATAATAGCAAGGAAATTTCATTTCTCCAATTCCCTCACAAATGTCAGCACATTATTGAATTTTCAAAACAAAGGCTGGCCCACTTGGAAATGCTATAACAAAAACAAATTAAGAATCCTGAAAATCAAGTCCTGTCATATAGATATATTATATACATATATGAATACGGCTAGCTGTATATATAATACTATGTAACTTCCATGGAAATATCGAGGAAAATTCTATTATGAAAGTTTACACTAATTTTAGTTGAAAAGCCTTTGAACTTTCGAAGCCGAAACCATATTTATTCAGGGCGAAAACAATGGGCAAGTACATTACATGATTCTCTTCTCATCGTGGCCAATGAAGAAGAAAGCCGGCATATCTTGTCAGAATGAAAAACTCCATATCAAAAATCCAAATCAAATAAGATATTTGTATGTCAAGCCTTCTATCAATGATATAATTATACAAAGAGATTATAACAACTCATCAACGGAAGGTGCGGTCCCTTTTCCCAAGATCAGGTGGTCCACATACATGAATAATCCAAACCTTAGCCATTAGATTTAACATTCCGCCACTTTAATGTCCCTGTTGGTTACAAGCTCACGGAAATAGAATGAGGGATTGCAGGATGTGAAATGATTTTTTTTTAATTGAATTTGTTTGATTTAATTAAAAAAATACTTTTAATTAGGTTTTTTTTCTACTATATATATGTGTATCTTCTTCTGTTTCAGTTCTTAGTCCTGATTTATTGTTGATAATACCAGTATTTTTTCCATCTGTACAGTCCATCTAACCCTAGTAATATTTGAGTGAAAAGAAACAATCATGTATAAGGTCGCAAATGCATCAGAATATCTGGTGATCACTGGCATAGGTATCGAAGACATAAAGCTTGCGAAGAAGGCATGGGTACTCCCTGGTCAGTCTTACACCGTCTTCGATGTCTCGCCTGTAAATTACACGTTCGAAGTTCAAGCTATGAGTGCCGAGAAGCTCCCTTTCGTCCTCCCTGCAGTCTTCACAATTGGTCCCCGTGTGGATGATGAGGCCAGCCTCCTCAAGTATGCCAAGCTAATCTCTCCTCATGACAAGCTCTCTAACCATGTTAAAGAACTTGTACAAGGTATCATTGAAGGAGAAACAAGGGTCCTTGCTGCTTCAATGACCATGGAAGAGATTTTCAAAGGAACCAAAGAGTTCAAACTCGAGGTTTTTGAGAGAGTCCAGCTTGAGCTCAACCAGTTTGGACTTTTGATTTACAACGCTAATGTTAAACAACTTGTGGATGTGCCTGGACATGAGTATTTTTCGTACTTGGGTCAAAAGACTCAGATGGAAGCGGCCAATCAGGCCAAAGTGGATGTGGCAGAGGCCAAAATGAAGGGAGAGATTGGGTCCAAGCTGAGGGAGGGGCAAACGCTTCAAAACGCTGCAAGAATCGATGCAGAGACGAAGATTATATCAACACAGCGGCAAGGAGAGGGGCTGAAGGAAGAGATAAGGGTAAAGACCGAGGTGAAGGTTTATGAGAACCAAAGGGAAGCTGAGTTAGCTGAGGCAAATGCAGATCTGGCAAAAAAGAAGGCAGGTTGGGCTAAGGAGGCGCAAGTGGCGGAGGTGGAAGCATCGAAGGCTGTTGCATTGAGGGAAACTGAGTTGCAAAGGGAGGTGGAGAGGATGAACGCTTTGACCAGGACCGAGAAGCTCAAGGCTGAGTATCTTAGCCAAGCAAGTGTTGAGTACGATACCAAGGTGAAAGATATATAATTCACTTAAAATTTATGCAAGGAACTGATTTTGAAATCTATTTTATTTCCTTTTCTAACTCCACGACTTTTCTAAAGGTGCAAGAAGCAAATTGGGAACTGTACCAGAAACAGAAACAAGCAGAGGCAATTCTGTATGAGAAGGAAAAAGAGGCGGCGGCGCAGAAGGCAATTGCAGATGCAACATTCTATGGTCGCCAAAGGGCTGCTGATGTAGAATTGTATGCAAAACAAAAAGAGGCCGAAGGGCTTATGGCACTTGCACAAGCCCAAGGTGTTTATCTGCGAACACTGTTAGATGCATTAGGCGGCAACTATGCTGCCCTAAGGGATTACTTGATGATCAATGGTGGATTGTTTCAAGAGATTGCTAAGATCAACGCTGACGCCGTGCGGGGACTGCAACCTAGGATTAGCATTTGGACTAACGGTGGAGAAGCAATGGATGGTAATGGTAATAATGCCATGAAGGAGGTTGCTGGTGTTTATCGAATGTTGCCGCCATTGTTTAAGACGGTTCATGAGCAAACTGGGATGCTACCTCCTCCATGGATGGGCACATTATCAGACTCAAAACAACCTACCATCGATTAAGACAAGCCTGTCATCAAATGTCAATTCTAAGCAAACTTTGCCATGCCTTTTTTTTTTTTTTGTTTCAAAATATATAGTATTTAATTATTTTGACTTTGTTTTACATACGAAGTTAGTAATTGTACGTATAATTGTACTTTTGGTTCTATAAATTAATTTTATTACTGCTTGTACCAAATATAATTCGGCATTTTTCAAAAAATTGTTCTTAGCTATAAGATTCAAACTCAAATTAATATATATATATATATATATTTAATATATTAAGATATAATATCATATTAGATTATTGCACCCGTTTCGTTTAAGGTATTTTTATTTGATAATATGTATTTTAGAATAAATACTCAATAAAAATTTGTAAAAACTTTGTTGTTAATATAAACACATAAAATATACATATTTTCACGGAAGAGTAATTTACAACTTTTAATGAAAAACATGTAGGAAATGATAGCAAAATGATATCTAATGTAAACAAATTCATTTAATTCAAACTCTTAATACATTAATTAAAAATAAAAATTTAAAATCACTTATAATTGTAGTATCTACATAAAATTATGATGGAACTCATATAATTTTAGAAATTGTGATTGATTAATTATAATATAATTATTATAAATAAAATATTTCTTAACTATTTTAAGTATTATTTCGATAGTTTCAAAATTTACGAATTAACTTTTTTTTGTTGTTTGCCACATGGCTAACTTTTTTCCTTCGTCCCTTCCACATTTTCTTAAATCTCAGAAATTTTGAATTCTTTTTTCTCTTCCTAAAATCAATGTTCTATTATTCTTTATCTTCCAAGGGCTTTTGGGTAAAAAAAAAAAAAAAATCCTCTCAAAACCAGGGGCTGGACGACCCCACTCAATCGTGCACCTATGACCTAACCTTCCAAGCATTTCTTTTTTTTTTTTTTTTCGTTCATCCTTATCAAAACTTTTTGCAGTTGCAAATTTTATAGATTTTTTTAAAATTTTTTTTGTAAATGGATATGATGTTGGTTTTGTGATCATTGGCTTGATAATTTACAAACTTGCAAGAAGGTATTTAACTGAATCTCGAACTTTTGTAGATGGTGATGGAGGTTTAGAGTGAAAAAGAGAGAGAGAGGTGATAAGGGAAAAGAGAAAAGATAAATGAAAAAGATAAAAGTGTTGGAATGAGAAATAATAACATAAAATTTACGATAATTAATTGTTGAATTTGAAATCTCATGGGGCATTCAATTTGCTCTTAATCACAAGATACGTATAATTGAAAAATAGATTAAACTCAAGCATTAAATATTAAAGTCAAGATCTATTTTTTTTTTTAAATTAACTTTATTTTTTTGTACTTAATAATTTTACCCAAACTATTCTAAATGTAGGGAGGGCCTCTAGGCATAGATAAATAATTCAATTTGTAGATGGATCTAATACTAACACATTACATTTAAATAATACACTCATTTATTCTCAAATTTTATTCTAATGACTTAAACGAAAAATATTAAAATTTTTACGGATTATAATATGATTTTAAAAACAAAATTTTATGTATGTGTGTAAAATAAGTGCATCAGATGAATAGGAGCAGTGTTTTCCTTTTTTTTTTTTTTTGCTAGGCAAAATTAAATTGTTAACAAGTTTAATGGGCTGCTGTTTTCCATTTGGGGTAATCTGAAATTGTGATCAATGACGTTAAGTGTATAATATAACAAAAATTAAAATACATAGCCTTAATTACAATGATAAAACAAATGAGAAATAATAAAAACAAATTACATATATATTTTTTCATGCGAAGGAGGGAATTCACTTGACAAAACAACAGAAAAAGAGAAGGAAAAGTCCTAACTAACATGGGGTCGGGCACATGGAGAAAAGCGAGGGAGGCGACCCAAGTCATCCAATATATTAATGACCGTTGGGGAAGTTGGCAGCAGCACACAAAACCTTTTAATGCAATGTGTACATTCCAACTCACTCATCAATGCCTCTCACTTATTAGCCTGTCTTCTTTCTCAATCTCTTCAACCAAATGTGATCCGAAGGCCAGCTGCCACTGCTTTATTTTTGACTCACACGTTTCATGTTTCATTTCAGTTATACTTTTGCATCAACATAAAGTTCATACATTCTTTCCTTTATATATTGGTTTCATTCCAAGATTTGTTGCTGTTAAGCTAGGCTTAAATTGTAACTAACAACACCAAAAAGGTTGGTATTTCTTTGACCGTTTGTTCTTTTGATTTTTTTTGGAAGGGGGTGTCTTTTTTTTTAATTTGTTTTTATATTTTCTTTTGAAGTTGATAGTTGGGTAGATGAACAAACTCAAGACGGAGAAAACAAAGTATTATTTTGAATATTAAGATTATCTCTTTTAGCAGACTTCAATAGACTCCAAGTGTTTAGATAGAGATTCATGAATTGTACCTTTGTCTGAATTTTTTTAGTCTTGATCTGTTCTATATTGAAACTCTGTACAAGACAAATCTCTAGAACTGGTTGGTATGAAAATCTAAATGCAATGATCAAAGTTAGTCTTGGTTTAGGTAAAAGAACCCACCAATAAAATTTTATTCTTTGAAGCACGGTGCAACTCGGGAATTGTAGTTTTTTTTTCTTGTTTCAAGCAAAGATTGATTAGTGTGGTTTTAGGAGAGCAAAAGCCATATAAAATCGGAGGTGGGTTCTTTTTTTTTTTTTTTCTTCAGGCATTGGGGCACTTGATAAATTTTCGGGATCATTTTGGAGCTCATATATACACTATACTTTGTAGAATTAGAGAAATTGGGTTTTCTCTGTTATTGTTGATTAGTTGATTTGTTGTGTTGGGTTTTTACGTAAGAAGATGGTAGGAAGTATTGAAACATTGCACCGAAGTTTGTACTCAAATGGATCGTTTTACAATTGCAATGGTGTGGAAGAGAAACTTGATGAGCTTCGACGCCTTCTTGGCAAGACTGATGGTGATCCATTGAGGATTGTCAGTGTGGGAGCAGGTGCTTGGGGTAGTGTTTTTGCAGCTTTGCTGCAAGATAGCTATGGCCAGTTTCGAGAAAAGGTTCAAATCAGGATATGGAGAAGGCCTGGAAAAGCTGTTGACAGAGCCACAGCAGAACATCTATTTGAAGTGATCAATTCAAGAGAAGATGTATTGAGAAGGTTGATCAGGCGTTGTGCCTACTTAAAGTATGTTGAGGCAAGACTAGGCGATCGCACTCTTTTTGCTGATGAGATTTTGAAAGATGGGTTTTGCTTGAACATGATTGATACACCACTTTGTCCTTTGAAGGTTGTGACTAATTTGCAGGAAGCCGTTTGGGATGCTGATATTGTGGTAAATGGCTTGCCTTCAACTGAAACACGTGAGGTATTTGAAGAGATTAGCAATTATTGGAAGGAAAGAATCACTGTGCCTATCATTATCTCCTTGTCAAAGGGTATAGAGGCAGCTCTGCAACCTGTTCCGCATATCATTACTCCAACACAAATGATTAATCGAGCAAGTAAGAGTTCTTCTTAATTGATTGTTGGTCATATTGTGCTCAGACACTTTGGCTTTACATTATAAGGTCACTGAACCATCAATTAATCTCATATTTTTGAGCTCTATGTGTATGTTCCTTGCAGCTGGAATCCCTATAGAGAACATACTGTATCTTGGGGGACCAAATATTGCCTCTGAGATCTACAATAAGGAATATGCCAATGCTCGAATCTGTGGAGCCGAAAAGTGGAGGAAACCCCTTGCAAAATTTTTAAGGCAGCCCCATTTCATTGTATGGGACAACAGTGACCTTGTAACTCATGAAGTCATGGGTGGCCTGAAGAATGTCTATGCCATTGGAGCTGGTAAGTACCTCTTTATCGTTTAGACAATAACTTGGTTTAGTCGCTTTATTTAATTGTAATGAATGGTGCAATAATAACAATAGATCTCTTTGCTGAATTTGTTTATTATTTATGTTTGAAAATTTATAGGAATAAATCTCAATAGTCTCATCAAAATGGTTGTAGAACACCTCGTTGGTATGATATCTCTCAGCTTGTTCTGACTAAAATTTTGGAGAAAATCAACATTTGGTTCTTGGGTTGATAGATCAATCTTTCACTTTATTGAACTACAATATTCTAGATTAATGGTGAATGAATTTGGAGAAGATGAGTTATGCCCTTCAGATAGGCATCCTGGGAATACTGTTGTTATAAATTACATTTGTAGGGATCTACAAACAGTTTTAATTTCATGGGACATTTATTCTGTAACCAGAAAAGTACCAAAGCTCTGTGTTTATGGAAGTCGGAGACTAATGAGTTAGCCAATGAACTAATCTTCACGATTTCTATGGAGATAACATTGCAGGAAATCATACAAAGTTCAAAAGATATACTGTTTTAAATTTGGAACAATATAATGACTTTCAGGTTTGATTTTCTCAGGAATGGTAGCAGCCCTTACCAATGAGAGTGCTACCAGCAAATCAGTTTATTTTGCACATTGTACATCCGAGATGATTTTTATCACTCATTTGTTGGCTGAAGAACCTGAGAAGCTTGCCGGCCCTTTGCTGGCTGACACTTACGTAACTTTGTTAAAAGGTCGTAATGCATGGTATGGCCAAATGTTAGCCAAAGGAGAACTAAGTCGGGATATGGGTGATAGCATCAGTGGAAAAGGAATGATTCAGGTAAAAAAAAACAAAGTTATTGAACATCTTATTTTACAACTGTATTTAGTGAGTGCAATTGCTGGTCTAAAATTGTCTTGTTGAGCTTGTGGCAGTAGGGTTCTTGACATATTATTCATCTTTTCTTTTGTTATTATTCATGACATTTCAAGCCTATTGCCGTTGAATGTCAATGATCATTTTTATTTCCTTCAGTTTCAATCTTTCTAGCAAATCACATTTATCTAGAAGCACTTTTGGTTGACCTGCTTCCACTTTGGGTTGACTTTTTGGTTAAACTGCTTCCTCTTTTATATATCCCTTACCTAGTAATGAAATATTTATCCCATTTATGTTATGCATTCAAGCATTAAGTGGACTATGAACTGGTTATTCATTATGCTTATCTCATTAGGTAGTTCTTCAGAACAAATTATTAAGTTTTTGTTCTTAATATACAAGTTGAAAATATTGGGAAAGGAAGAACCAGAAAAGGTGAATATGCATTGTAGCTGACTGTCTGTCATAATTGTGGATTATCTATGCAGATATTGCAGAAAAATTGATGAAGGTCAAATCAATTAGCATAACCTACAATTTGTTCTTTCATCTAGAACTGAAATTTCACCACATATCCATTTGATCATTGGACAATAAATTTAACCGATGTTAATTCCTTTCTAGGGTGTATCTGCAGTAGGAGCATTTTATGAACTTCTGAGTCAATCAAGCTTAAGTGTGTTGCATCCAGATGGAAACAAGCCTGTTGCTCCTGTTGAGTTGTGTCCTATATTGAAGACACTCTACAAAATTCTTATAACAAGGTAATTTCTTATTCCTCAATAGTTACCTAAATTTACTTTTCATCCTGGAAATCATAAATAACAAGATTTATTATATCTAAGCTTCAGAGTCGGCATAGCTTGGTACCGTCAAATATGCTTTGCTATTGTTTTACTACCTCAATGAAAACCTGAACACCCATGTCTCTTGCCATGACATAAACTATCACTAGATTTGTCTATTCCTTGACCAATCGGTATTCATATAGTTTTTGATGGTCAATAACTGCAATGCTAAGCTTGTCATATATTTTGAATCTCTAGGGAGAAGTCATCTCAAGCTATCCTTCAGGCACTGAGGGATGAAACCTTGAATGATCCCCGAGACCGCATTGAGATTGCACAGAGCCATGCATTCTACAGACCTTCACTCCTAGGCCAACCTTGACAGGTTTGCACAGCAAATTCAAGTTTAAAGGAGACTAATCATATGGAATCAATTGTTTCAGAGAGAAACCTGGTGGTTTTGTAATGAATGGTACCTCTTTGGAATATATATTGAAAGCTTGATTGATGAAATTTGTCTAAGTTTTCAGCATCTTTTCAGGATCAATTCTTGCATAATGTTTGCCCAAGTTGTTGAATAATATTTAGACAGGTGACACTTTGAATGTCAACTATGTGGTTCTCATACTTATGTTTTTTAGAAAAATTTTGACACATTCAAAGTGTTTTTTTATCATTTTCGTATTGTATTTAATATTGTCAGGTCATTTTATAATATTTATAATAATTATCTACTTATTAGTTGCAAAGAGAAGGATATGTAGAAAGCTAAAGGATTGCCACAAGTAAAATGCAGATAACATAAAATGTATGACTTTTACATTAATGGTAATATAAAGATTAACCTAAAACACACAAGAAATCTTTATTATAATACATTCATCATGATAAATATGGCTAAAGTGATCAATCAGTATCAGACCAGTAGATATCCATTTCGCCCCAATCGCTTTCAGGCACTCCTAGAGCCTTCCGAACTGCTTTTGAAGCATCAACAATGTTGCTAGGACAAGGAGGCTGGTAATCATGATCAGAATCACAGCCCATTGTAGAATCACACTCATCCACAACCTTAGCCCTCACACTTTTTCCCTTGCAATGGATGTTGACGTACTTCAAAGACTTCTTTTTGTGGTTAAACCGCCCGATTGAAAGTGCCACCACAGGGTCATCATCCGAGTGGTACTGGTTGTCACATTCGGATGGTGCACTACCGTCCCCGCCTTTCTCAAAGCTGTTCAGTGTCAGTGTTGCTTTTGTTTGGCTTGACACAGGCGGTGAGCATTTGTATGTTGTGTACCACTCGCCATCTTTACAACAATCAGAGTCATCTTCTGGGTTGCATTGCCCTGGTGGAGGGTTTTTCCCTCTTATCCTCCCACTAGGCCTGCAGGTTTGAGCTTCAGCACTCAGGAAAAGAAAAGAATGCAAAGGATCAGAAGAAAGACACTTGAACTAACTTGCTTCTTCATTTTTTTTTTCTTTTAAATTCACTTCTGTTTTGATGTTTTGGTGTGAGAAACTACAAGTGGGGAAAGGCAATATATAGAGATTAGCCATGAGTAATTCAAAATATCAGTTTTTTAATCTGAAAAAATTAGAACAATTTCTGGCACTACGGCCTTTCAAGAAGAATTTCTGTTTGCTCAACATATTGACAGTTATATGGAGTCAAATATTTAGGTTGACCGCTTTCGTCGAAGACATGATAGTTAGTAAAATGTATAAAGTCATATATCAATGTTTTGTAATTATTATTTGAATTTTATTTTGTTTAAGCAGAAAGGATTTACTTGGTACATTTTTTTTTTGAACCGATTCAAATATATTAACTTATATCGATTTTAACAAATTAATGAAAAATTATATTTTTATAATTTTTTAATAGAGTCGAATTCAAATAAAAAAAAAATTCTTTTTATTACTTGAACTAGACATTATCGAAAATTATTTATCTTCACAATATGATAGCAATTTGTTATTGATAAAGACCGCGGTAGCTGATTTGGAGATAGGCACTTTAAATTATGATTATAGCAATCAACAAACAAATAATTGGCTTGTTCCTGACGAAGTAAAAACCGTGCAAGAGTGAAAGAGAAAGCAAGAATATTGCAGTTATGCTACGTTGATGCTACGAAGAAAAGGAATGTTGGACATAGTTATAAGATTTATTCGGCCTGAAATTCCTTTGACAAGCAAACAACGAAGTGAAAGAGTCAAAGATTATGTACAACCTTGCCAAAAAAACTTTATTTTTTAATAATCAGTAAACTTCATTGCTTAATCAGAATTTGGGCACTCCTCAACCTAGTATCTATCCTCCCTATTCACTAAGGCAAATTTAGCCAACGTATGGGTGGCCTCATTAGCCTCTCTTATTACATGTGCACATTTAGAACCATGAAATCTCTTCAGCCTCGATCATTTTCACGTCATCAATGAAATTACCTATTGCTGATAAGTCTGTATCCAGTTGTTGTGTCTGTTGAATAATTCCTGGAGCATGTCCCTCCATTGTAACTTGGCCGAAACCCATGTCAGCTGCTTTAGCTGCTGCCATCATCTCAATCACTGTTGGATCCATAATTCCTGTCACATCCATTGAAAGTGCTTCGAGTTCAGCTCCTTTTATCGTCTCTGATTACAGCTTATTATTTCACATTTTTTCGATTAAAAAAGTTTTGGCTATTTCCCTTGTTCCAGAGAACTATCCAAGCCGAGGTTCCATTCTTTTCCTCTAAGCTTTATTTAGTTTTCCTTTATGTTTTGACATTTTCTTAAATGATTAATCTTGTAAAAATAACTGAAATGTTCCAATAAAACTCAGGTTTTGTCTAATTCTAGATAAAGGGTTTTCTTTTAATCTGCATTTTCTTTTTTGGGTTTGAAGTTCATCCCATTTTGTTCTCAATACAGCTGTTCTCTGTTGAGGAAAATTTTGGGTATTTTTCTCTCCCCCTTTTTTACTGTCAAATGTATGGCTTTATTATTTTCACCAGCAGTGGAGTTCAATGGAGGTATCCTAGTTAGTTTCTTATAGTGGGTTACTAAGAGATTAATCTGCCATGTTCTTTTTCAGCTGATACTTGGAGGCTTGAACAAACATGTGCTTTCCAATGAAGACTGTGTCACCCATCAGATTTTTCCTTGGGATTCATACAATGATGCAGAACAATGGAGCAATTCAAACATGCAAAAGCAAGGCTTTCTTTATAACATGTAGCAGAAGAAAACAAAATATATGGGATACCAACCTGTACAGAATCCATTCATATATTCATTAGCAACTTAATCGATTTTCCAATTGTTTGACCAGATCTTCCTTTTTTAGTGCGGAGTATTTTGTCAGCTTCTGCTCTTTTGCAATGGCCCTCAGCTCACACAACTTCATTTTCATCAAGTTATTTGTATCGAAAGGCTGGGGTGCCACGCCCTTTGCACAGGAATGATCAACACCCTCTGATATAGCAAAATCTGCCTTGGTGGTACACATACTTATGTCCCCATGCAACTGTGAGATGTTCATTTGAACAGATGAACCACTGATCTCCACAACGATTGGTATACTAGAAAACTTTTTGCTTTTCTTTTGTGGCAGTGAAATGGTATTCTGGCTAGAATCCAGCATCATGTTCTGCTCTTCTTCTTCACATTGGCTCTGCTGAACAGTTTTCTCATGGATTTTTCCACTCAAAGAATAGTTTAAAGTATGGTTGTTAGCATTTTTCCATGGCCTCTTTCCTTTTGAAAATGAAGATGAGTTTGAAGCATTTTCCTTTGAATTTAAACCAGGTTCTTCAACAATGGCAGAAGTTGACTCCATATTTGTCTTTTCCTTAAAGTTCATAACAAGTTTGTCATCACTAGCAGCAATTTCAGCCATCTGAACTTCCTCCGCTTCTGGTTTTCCCTCCATACATTGTATGGTTTTATCCTTGCCCCTCTCATCCTGCAGTTCTATGAGTGAGGTTAAGGCAGAATGTTTGTTGTCAATCAGAGCAGCTTCTTTTTGCATTACAACTTGTAAAGAGTCTTTTCTCTTCCCTTCTCCCTTAAATAATGAATTTGAAGGCCCTTTCTTGTCAGTTGAAGCAACCTTTAACTCTTTGATGCCTCGTTTACATGCATATTTCACAGCTAAGTCACATAGTTTTTGCTCCATATCACATTTTAGACTTTCTGCCTGTCTGAAAGCACCTATCCTTGAATCAGAGCTATTTTCCTTCCTGTTGAGGCCAGTCGTATGTCTCAAAGTATCAGGACTACTAGTTTTAACCACAGCATTTGCAGGCTGGCAGAAAATGACATTATAAGCTCATTGAAGAGGCAAGTTTAAGTTAGATTCAAACAACTCACGGTGGCAATTGAAATACTCTTATGAAAATAACTGCTCGCCAAAGCCATAGGTTTCCTTTCCTAAAATTAACAATTACATACATACAACAATTCTATGAGAGAGAGAAATTATTGTACCTTATCTGCTGTCAGAATATTTCCTTTATGTTCAGGATTCAAACATGAATTTGAAATTTTACTTTCGATGGTAGTTGTATAACATCCTTGCACTTCACATCCGTTAACTTTCAGGTCACACTTACACAGCTTTTTCATCTCATTGGAGTGGCCTGTTTTCTGTTTACGAGCGATTGAATCTTTGGCAATAATATTTGCAGGCTGCTCCTCCTGAAAGGAGAACCGAAAAAATAAGTTAAGACAGAATGCAACAGCCCCCACAAGTCAGAGCAGTCCTAAGAGAATCAACCAATCTCACAGATTGACACACAGCATGTCAAGTATAGCTGTGAAGGTATCTGACGATGAAGCACATTTTGGCACTGACATGAATTAGATAGCTGGCCATACCTTCACTTTCTTGCTAAGATCTGTTCTCTTCCCCATTGGATTTGATGACGAACCTAGGATTAACATATCTGTTGCAGATATAGAAGTCTGCACTGTTGCTTCCTCACTCACAATTTTTAAACTAGAAGAACTTAATTTTTTCTTCTTGTTCAGGTGGCCAGCTGAATTTTTTGAAGTATCCGGGTCTGAGTTATTCACAAACTGTGCAGCCAGCTCCTGTTGAATAGAACCATAATCAATTTAATTTACTTGCAACACCAGAGGAGAGCTATAATGCTACAAAGCATATGACTATTTAAATATGTGAAAGAGCAAGAGTGTACCTATATGATAACATGCATAAAGTTAAAAATAGTAGAAGATGCAAAAGACCAGTTTCTTACAAACACACTGTAGTTTAAAACCTAAACCAACATAAATCACAATCAATTCAGTTTTTCTCCCAGGTATCACTAACACAAACTCATTCTATTGATTGTAACATGTGAGAGATGAACTTATAAGGTCCACCTTATCTTTTTGTGTAGACATACACAAACAGCCCATTTGTTATCTACATTTATAAGTCATTCAAAATTAAAGAAGGGCTAAAAGAATGTTCAAATAACTTTCCCTTGTTGAACTGAACTAATTACAAGAGAACTAATATTCACTAAAAGTACCTTTTATATCAAGCAAAAGGTTAAGCAAAACCACAAAAAGTACTTTCGAATGTTCAAGTGCATTAACATTGTCATTTCAATTATTAGGTCAGCCACAATGAAAAGATTACTTTCTGTTGCAGGATAGCATGTCTTTCATCAATGTCAATGAAACCCGCTCAACAAATTTTCCCTGAGTTTTTCACTTTTTAATCAGAACTTACTAAATGATTTTGAATTGGATTATTTGACCAAAAAGAGAGCAAGAGAACTACCTTAATCTTTGTCCTGTCTAAGTTATGCATCCTCTTCTGTGTAGACTTAGGAGATGAATGCTGGATCACATTTTTGTCTTTAAGAGTGAGACCACAATCTTTGATTCCTTGCTTCTTGGTAGTTTCTAAATCAAGGATGGTTACAACTTCCTTCTCATCAAATTGATCAGCTGCTGGTGGCAGGGAATGAAGTATCAGATCTTTGACATTGGCATTTGCTAGCTGGCAATGATACATTAGAACATCAAGCGGAGGCAGTAAAGCAGTCAAATTTTTTCAAGGTATAGCTGTACACAAAAAGAAATCAAGATGCAGCTGCCAAACATAATTATAGGGAAATCAAGCACCCATGTTAGTATGCAAGGAATTTAAGGCTTCATTCTTTTATTTTTCTTCTCTTCTTTTTCTGTTTTATATTCTATTCTTTACCATTTGTATGCACTTCATATTTGAATGGCCAATGGTTGTGAACCATCACATTTTATCCAAGGCTCAGCTAAGAACAAGCATAGCATCAAGATACAACTCCATGCAAGATTTCACACATACTTGGTTATGATCAAAACTAATGAGCTGTTACATCATACCCATAAAATGCATGCATGGGTTATAAGCATGCTTGGCTGATATATTCTTGCAACTAGCATCACAAAAAAGGTTTTTTACCACCTTAAATGACCTTTACCAGTCTATATTGTTTACAACCTTGCAGATAAGTTTATCTTCCTTCATAGGTGCTATTTGTTCATAATTTTTTCTTTAAATAAATAAAACATAGGCACCAAATCATTCCTCTTCAGCTTTCTACACCCCAGAGTCCATTTTTTTAATATCTAAGACAAAAAGGACAATCAAGATAAACAGTACCATAAATTTTAGCACTAAAATCAAAGTCAAGATAACTCTCCCATTATTTTAACCTTTTTCTCAACCAAATATATTTCTACTACTTAGTATCAGTATAGCAAGAATATGCAGTGTGTGTCAACCTCCGAATAATGTCCCTCTAAAGACCTTCTCAATCAATGTCCTAACAAAACCTTAGCAGTAGCACCAAAGCAAAGACACCAACTTGTTCCATGACTCTGAGCTTCCAAGTATGAGAAGGTTGGATACATTTTTACCAAAAGCTTCATATAACTTAACTGTTTCTGAACTATTTGCTTTCTTCTCTTCAAGCTCTTTAGATGGATTTGAGGAAGTACAGTTTTCTTTGGGAGTAAAACTGGTTCCATTGTTTTCCTCCTTTGCAATGAAACATGAATTTGAATTGCTCGATTTGTGGTTCTTATGCAGGCCAGCCAACTGCTCTGGAGAACCAGACCTTGAATCTAAGCCAACAACTTTCTGAGAAGGAAAATTCTGTCTTAGTTCATGAAATAATGCATAAAAGAAACAGATATTAGAAGGAAAAATTAAATAAGTAAATGATATAACACTACATGAAATACAAAGACAAAATCAATCTGCTGACAACAAAAGGAGTTGTCCATTCTTATCAAGTTCCACAACGATGCAAAAGCACTCCAAATAAATAAACACTAAACAATATTCCACCTCTAATTCACTCTATTAAAGGTTCTCCATCATCTTTCCCTCCAAGGTGACCAAGGGTAGCAGAAAAATTCAACATGACTATGACTCTATGACATCTAAACAGTGCTAAACCTACATTCATAACAAATATTAAACAACACTAGTCCAGAAATTGACAAATGCCGTGAAGCGTCCGGTCAAAATAACTTAAAATTCCAATGCAAAAAACTATGCTATGGTACACAATATCAGTTGAAATTGCAGAGTTAATAGAGACAATTTGTAAAACACAACATGAATCACAATCTTCTGGTATTGTCCCCTTAAGGTTCAGAGTTGAATCACATTCATGGTCAGTTAGTAAAAGAATAACGAAACATATTCAAGAGTCAAACCTGTTCATTTTTCTCATGGCAGAAACTTTTGAGCAGGGCCTTCACCATTTCATGCAATTTCTCAGCAGGTTCTGTATGCATCAATAAATAAACCTCAATGTCATTCTCATCCTTGTTCCTCAATTTCCTTATTGAGATACCAAGGCAATTGATCTTTTCTCTCAAAGCATTGCAGCAGATGTCAGACCATTCTTCATGTTCAGCCCATGCCAGTTCACTTTGGAGAAATACCAAATCTTTTTCAAGTTCATCGATTTCAGTATCTGCTTTTGTAATCAATATCCGCAGAACTTGAACACAACATTTCTCGTTCAAGGCATTTTCTTCAATCATGTCTACAGAAAAAACAAAAAAATAGCATAACTATGTTAATAACAAAAGCCAAGAAACAAACCATACCAACCAGAATTACAATAAAGATAGAAGCATTAATATACCAATGCCATAACCAAAGTAAAAGTCACACTGCCATTCTGGTTGTATGCAACAGCTGCTTTCTACTGCAGATTACCCACATTCAGCCAAATCACACTCAAAAACAATTATCAAACTAACAATGCATCATAAGTGCTAATCCGAGAAACAAGAAACCACCTTCAGGGAATGATGGGCCGCAGAGGTCAAAAGCCATAAATTTCTGATATATGTATCCTGAAATGCAAGCAATGCAACATTATGATTCTTGCAGAATACAAGACAGCAAAATAATGATTCGCTACACAATAAATGGGAAAATGTTATTAATTGCTTCAATCACTAATTGAAGAGCTGAAAATTCAATTTACAAGTGTCTTTTTTCACTTTACTGTTTTCCTTTTTTTTTTTTTTTAAACTTATGGGGTCCTTAAGTTTCAATCAAGAAATGATTTTCCGGTGTCAATCAAAGTAAACAAGATTAACAAGGTAGCATTAAGAACGCTAACATAAACAAAGTTAGTCCACACACATACATACACGTGTGTGTGTGTATATACTTTTTTTAATCTCAACGACGTCAAATTATTAACAAACAGTAAAAGAATAAAAATGTTCAGTTTTAGTTACCTTAACTAGCTTATAATCAATCACCTTCATTTAAGCTTTGTTCATTCACATTGACTAATTAAGGAATAAAATCATAAATATTCAAATTAAAAACAGTTCCTTTTTCCATTTTAATCGAACAACACAAAATTCAGAAGAGAAATTCAAGGCTCAAACAACACTAGAAAACAAAACGCCATATAAAACAAGAAATCAGTTCCAAACCAAAAAAAAAAAGTAGAAAAGAAAACGCGAGAAAAATAGAAATTTGGCATTTTTTTTCTCCAACGCCAAACAGTACCTTAAAATTGCAACAACGAATCACGATGAACAGAAGAAGAAACGACTCAGCTTTCCTAATCTGGAAATTTCTAGGGTTTCAAGATCTCAAAATTCTAGAGAGAGAACATGAACTTTTAGAGAGAGAGTGAGTGAACTCCGTTTCTTTTTGCTGAGATTGAGCAGAGTTATGTATACGTGACTGGGAGTGAAAGCGACGAACGTTTTCTTTAAAGAAAAACTGATGTTTGGAAGGGCACTATTCTGTAAATATGACTTTTTTAGGGGCCAAATTGGAATAATAAATACAGGTGGCAAGGAAAGGGAAGTTGTGTCAGATCACACGTAGGACGCATAGGAGGTTATGGGCCCACCGAAGAGATTCCCCATTCGTTTTTATTGACCCTTTTTGGCGCCATTGGCTGCTCGTGGACCGTTGATTCGTTGACTTTCACAAAGGCACATCGGACGGTAAAGAAAAGCCTCAATTTCATGGGGTCCACACGCAGTAAGTTTAAAGATATTCAGATACTGCCGTTCCTATATGCAACAGTCCTTTTCTTTTTTATCTGAGTGGTGGGACCCTCTTTAGGATGAGAGTCTTAATTCCGGACGGTATGTGTTTCTGAAAGTTCTGTGCCCGCCTACAGAGTAATATCTCTCTTCAATAAAGGCGTGGTAAAATGGTAAATAGATTGGAAAAGACGTGCGTTTTGCAAAGTATAAAACTTGGGCAGCCGTACCTTTTGGAATTTTTGACAGCGGGGACGCCCTGACTGCGCTGCGCCACTTTGCAATGCTTTAATCCCACTTGTCAATAGATGGAGCAGAGTCAAAATTACTTTAGCTGCCACATTTATTAGCTGCTTTTGGAGCTGTTTAATATTTATTAATATTTAATTTACTTCAAAATTAAATTTATAATATAAAAATGCAAGAATATGCAAACCAGTATTCTCTAATTTTTTGTTACATTAAATCAATTTTCTTTTTTCTTTCTTAACGATGAATCAATATTTAAAAAAGAAAAGATAAAAGTCATCCACTTTTATAAATTTAATTTTAAAATTGCATTATATTTAGGAAAAAAAATGCAAAATCCAAAATTTTCATTGAAGATCAAATGGCAGCTTTTTCTTCTTTTTTTCTTGTTCATCGACAACGGATCCAACACTTTTCCTTTCCAACCTCCAAAACTCCAAAAATGTCATCAACCCAACAGCCATCATCATAAAAAAAAAAAACCCTTTTCATAGTTTCACTTATAATCCTATGGTAATGCTCAAGCATTGGAGTTCTTCTCTTAAACAATTGCTTACTCTCCAACTACGGTCTTCAATTCCCAATCTTTTTAACAATGTGTCACATGTCAGCTTGTGCTTTTTTTCAGTTACATGTCCATTGTGTTCATGAAACTTGTCCCTCTCCAACCAATCAAATCCAGGCCTCAGCTTCTAAAGATCGCAACTTTTAAGTGTTGTCTTTTGTGCTTCAGTTGTTGGAGGTAACATTTCTCTTAAGGTACCTCCCTGTGTCTTTTAACCAGGCTGTTGGTGCTACCACACCCCTTTTCACTGCCTTGTTTGCTTACTTTCTGACTTTCAAGAGAGAAGTTTGGGTTACTTTTGGCGCCCTTGTTTCTGTTGTTGCCGGGGTTGTCATTGCTAGTGGGGTATGTTTCTTTTTCTGCCTTTTTGGATCATTTGATGATAAAAAGAAGAAGAAGAAGAAGAAGAAAGTTTTTATATTTTTGCTTGGTAAGAGATTCATTCTGTTTATCAGTAATGTCTTCTTTGATGTATAATTGACCATTGATTTAGCAGAACCTATTTTTGCCACATTTTTTTAGCTGCTGTAAGTATAATCATCTCCCTCCTCCAAACTGCTCCAAAAGAATATGACAAAAGTGAAAAAAGAAAAAAAAATGAAGAAGATGGCTTCACAGTGGGCTCCACTACAGGTATTTTTGGAGGAAAAGGCAGGTTTAGTGCTCATATTCATACATGTCTCTGCCTCCCTAGCATAGCTATGGCCTATGCTGGCTGCACCAGAAGGAAGTTTCCTTATTATGTTTAAACACATCTAACCATTGTGTCATTCCATAACCCCATCTTCATGTGTTTGGTCAATATTTTGAATAAGTTAAATTGGCTGTTTGCACCATGTCATCAATTCATTTTGCAGAAAGGGAGGAAATGAACTGTTTAGACCCTGTCAGTGAATTCATGATTTATTAACTAGGAAAAAGACAGAGCTCAAAGTAACGTTCTGCAGTTCTAGGCAACCTTTGCCTCTTTCTTTCCTTAAAAACTCTTTTGCTTTATGAACTTTAACCTTTGAATTTGATTATTTGTGGCAGGGTGAACCAGGTTTTCACTGGTTTGGATTCATTATGTGCATAAGTGTAACTGCTACAAGGGCCTTCAAGTCTGTTCTTCAGGGTATCCTGCTTTCTTCGGAAGGGAGTAACAGTTTTATTTCTGTTAGTTCATCATCTGCAACTGGCATATTTCTTCATGTGTTGGGTGTATTTTTGCTGCCACAGAAGTCAATGCATTTAGTTTCCTTTTGCTTTTTACCCCAGACCCCGCGCATAGCTGGAGCTTTACGCACCAGGCTGCCTTCTTTTTATGGGGAGTTGTCAGAAGGTGGATGAGGAAAAGCGGTCACTTGAGTTTGAACCAAAGTTAAGTTGCTTATAATTCCTGTTAGTGCCAGGCCATGTAGTCAAATGCTGCTATTAAGTTTTATGTTCTTGTCATCGTCTAACATTGCAATCCACTAAAGAGAATGAGTTGCATGTTTTGTCTTAGCTGAATTCCATCCCCAGCCAGCTATAAGGGATATATTTCTTCCATTTTTCCCTTATAGAAACAATATTTTGGGGCAAAAAAAGGTGAAGTGGACGAAAATAAGTGGCTGAAAAACCTGACGGATAGTATTTAGATATTTCCTTTCTTCTTTGACTTTCATGAGTTGATTTCTGACAAAGAGCGCTTCTGAACAGCAAAGATTAAAAGAAAACTTTCCACCATTAGTTCATATATAAATGTCTTTGATTGTTGATTATCTCATTGTTTTTTAGTGGAAAAAGATATGAAAGTAGACCAAAAAGGGATCCTCGTAATCGTTGACATCCAGAAGAAACCTTACAAGTGACATGCCCTTTAGCTTAGCCTTCCAACTTAAGCGATTAATCAGAGCAAAAAGTTTGGACCTCAAATATTTCTTACTATTTCAAATTTTGTATTCGATGATTGATGCTGTGAGCTTGTTTTTATTAACTCCTCCTTTTAATAAGAAAAAAATTCTTCCCCAAGCTAATTGTTCATGCTTAAGTGCCAGTGTCTTTTACTGTCATTTCCAAGTGAGTCATGGATGGATGATTGGTGCGTAGTGTTTTGTAGAAAGAGTGTGTTTGAGTGTTAGTCTATTCTTCTAACTTATCTACGGGGTTAACTTTAATAGCCTATACAGTCCTATTTTCCCTTGAATTAGAGGCTCTATTTTTCTCTTTCCTCATTTATTCTATGTTATTTCCCTATTTATTCTATGTTATCTAAATTGAGATATGATAACTTTCATATTTTATATGAAATAAATACGATACAATTACATAAATTATCGGATCTAGTTGTTGCCAACCAGGGGACTGAAACATTGTTTTATTTTTACCTAATCAACAAAAGGAAATATGAAGTGCCACATTTCATGACAGGTAATGTGGCCTCATCCCCTTTCAACTTCCTTAATCAAGCCCCATTCGTTTTACCTATAGCCCAAGCCAAATGGCATGATTGTCTAGAATAGAAGTCGTCTTTGACAGTTTTGCATGTCTAAAAAGAAGGCTTCATTTCCTTGTACATTCACATTCCACCAGTAACGAAAGTCAATAATACTTTGCCAAAGCAATACAAAAAGAACACAGATACAAACAATTATGCCTCAATACATAGTTTGCAACAAAGACCTTGAATTAATACTGATATAAATGCCACTCTCCCCAGACTAGGGTTCTAAAAAGCTCGAAGCTCAACCATAATGATGCTATTGGACATAAGATACCTGCCATAATGATGCTATTGAACATAAAGATCAGCAAAAATTACGGGCTGGAATTTCATTGGTTGCGAACCACAGGAGAAAATTAACATGGCTGCAAACCATGTTTCAAAAGTACTCCTTTCATGTCCAAAATTAACCTCGATCCTAAATTTTTCTAAGTCAGAAGTCAGATGAGGCGTAGTGTGTGCCTAAAAGTTAAGGTCTCTCCAGTAGTATTTCCAAAATATCCTTATTAACTCCGGGGTTCAATGTGGATATAAAGAAGAAAAACAAAATCAGCAATTCCAAAAGCAAAACCTGTCAACAAATCAATTGGCATTCAAGTAGCCTCAGAAATGAAATTTTAGTCTGTTTTCGGGAAATCATGCTAGACCAGGACCACTAGGAAGTGCATCATAACCATCATGGTGCTTTGGCTTAACAACTGCTCTTTCAACAGGTATGCACTTGAGAATAACAGCAACAATCAAGCTAACTGACCCTATTAAGATGCAAAGTACCCATAGCTGCCAACTTAGAGGCACAGTGCTGGCAAAAGTTCCAAGGTACTCAACTATGACTACTTGGAATGCTACTGTTGAAACCGTGACAGCTATGAATATCCAGCTGTTAAACATGCCCCGGAATATGTTTATCTTCTCTATATCACGGCTATTAATTTCATTAAACACCTGGGAAAAACCCAAAATGAAAATAAGCTCAATAATCACTACATAATATCAATTATTCTTCAGCTAAGAATATTCCAGCCAAGTAAGAAAATTAAAAATGTCAATCGTAAACTTCACATTGTATCATTTGCTTCTGACTAGTCAAATGTTGCAAGCAAATCAAGCCAGGTGCTCAGGCAACAAAAGATCAATAGCAATCAGCTTGTGTTCCGGGTAAAGTCTGTTTTTGTTCCAATAATTGTCAAATTGACTGATAACTAACCAGATGGTCCGTATAACTTTCTCTGACAATTTTTCTATGATTTATTGACCTAACAATTCAAATCTGCGATTTATGTCCATGTTAAGTTTGGTAGTTCAACAATCTTATTTAAAAACTCTTCTAACAAATTCTTACTAATAATCATCAGTAAGCTCACTTATAGCCCTAAGCTGCTAAATATTAGCACACTTCTAAATAGAGATATCTTGGCATGATCAAATAATGACTGTCCCACCTAATTGATTATGAGAGACTATTTGTCGTGCTGGATCCATCTGAACATAAGCATAAAAAGGATTGCCAAAGAAGAAACTTACAATAGCAACAGTTAGTTAAATCTGAAAAACCATACCTGACAAAACACAAAGGAATTGAATATCACTGTATTTAGAACACTGGTGGCATCTGAACCTGTAAGCCTTAGAAGCTGTTTCCCATCAAAATTGAGAACACCAAGGACAATTAGTTGATATATACTCTGACCAATGATATTTCTCCACATTGGTCTGGTAATAAAACTTGCAACCCTTGGAATTGGGGGCCTTTTCATTAATGTATCATTAGGAGGTTCTGTAGCTAGTGCCAATGCCCCAAGAGTGTCCATGATCATATTAACCCAAAGCAATTGTACAGCTGTAAGGGGGGCAGATCCTGAAAGTTAAACACAAATCAGATAATGATGAGGGTGATTTCTAATCATCACAACTATAATACATGTCTGACAAAAGCTAGCTTCATATAATAACACACCTGAGATTAATGCAGAAACAAAATTGATTACAAGAGCAACAACATTAACTGTTAACTGAAACTGCACAAACTTTTGGATGTTAATGTATACTGCACGTCCCCATTTGGCAACATTCACAATAGTAGCAAAATTATCGTCCATTATGATGACATCAGCATTTTCTTTGGCAACCTGTACTATCAAGGTATTTACAACATGAAAATTGGAGCACAATGAGAAGAATGTGAACAAGCTTGATATAGCAACAAAGTCAGCCCCAAACACAAAAATATCATAGTCTGACAGCAGATATCTTCATAAACAGAAAAGAGATAGACCAGCTAACAGCCTCTAACAAACATCAATCCATTCTGAATCACCTGAACAACAAGATGCATTTGCAAGGTGACTATGTTGACAATGCCTAATTATTTCAGGTAATCTACAAAAAACTTGATTGCATTTCTTTGCATAAAGAAACGTTATTTGCTAACAATTATAGATTCTCATACCGAATAGCTGATAAAACAAAGAAATTAAGAAAATAAGTTTAAATCAATCCAAGAAAAGTCATCAGAAGCAAATTATCCAATGATCTCTACAGAAAAAAAAATGGACCATTCACAATATTAGACAGGTCTTTCTTCCAAAAGAAGATTAAATATCTCCCATAAGCATGTGGAGGAGAAAACCAAAAATGTTAAGAACATGACCTAATCGAAATATATGCATGTTCAGAACAAAGAAACTAAGAGAATAAGTTCAAATGATACCAAAAAAAATCATCAGAAGCAGCAAGCCAGCAATGATTCCAAAATCTCTTTGGATAAGAAGGGTTGGTTACAAAATTATGCAGGCCATTCTTCCAAAAAATGGAGAAGTATGAAATTAAAAAGAGGAAGGGAGAAAATTCTAAAGCTCAAAAAATTCACTAAAGTATCCTTTAGAAAATAGAAGTTGGAATCAAGATATTGAGAAACCTTGCTCAAAAAGCCAATAAAATTCACAATTTGTACCACTGGAAAATAACTTGTGTTTTCCTTCCTGATGGATAAACTAATTCAGGAAAATCAAGAAAATTGAGATAATAGGGGTTGTAAACATGACTACAAAAATAAAACAGAAATCCTCTACTGCAGTTTATTTCATAGAATAAATACATTTTTTCAAGTCCTGGTGTAAATCAAATACCAGAATAAGAAAATAAAGATGTTCCTAGAGAGAGAGAGAGAGAAGATCTCGAATGAAAATATTAAGAGAATAAACAATAACAACATCACATGGGATGGCAAATAGAATGAAAACATGTGAGCAAAGACAAGAAGGTAAACATGTTCGAGGTTGTTAGTATCATCATCGTTAAATAAAACTGTGTATGAATGCAAACCTCTGTTCCAGCTATCCCCATAGCAAGTCCGATGTCTGACTGATGCAAAGCTGGAGCATCATTGGTCCCATCACCGGTCACTGCAACAACGTCCCCAAACATATTTCTCAAATGGTTTACCAGATTGAGCTTATCTGAAGGTTTTGACCGTGCCATTACCTGAAATCCACAACAGTGTTCAAGATGTACACCTCCCAAAGCATAAATTGAATGTTAAAAGTTTTTATATGATCATTAGAACCTGAATATTTGGTATAATGTCCCTCATTTCATCAAGAGACTTGCTACTAAATTCTGGTCCTTCTATGGCATTCTCATCTGCTGTTAGTATGCCACATTCTTTAGCTATCGCTTTTGCTGTATGGATATTATCACCAGTGACCATACGAACAGTAATTCCTGCAGCTAAACAGGTTTGAACTGCTTCCTTGACTCCAGGACGCACAGGATCCTTGATCCCAACAACTGCTATCAAGGTATAGCCACTATCAGGTATGCTACTCTCAGGATAAGTTTCATCTACATCTTTAACAGCCAGGCATAGAGTCCTTAGAGCTTCCGAGGCAAAGCCAATTATGACATCTGTGATATTTCTTGCTCGTTCTTCAGATAGAAGAACTGGTTCTCCAGTGTAATCAGCAACCTTGTCACACATACGTAATACTATTTCTGGCGCACCTTTACAAAAGGCTTGAATCCCACCTTCAGGAAAAGCCACCAATACAGACATCGTCTTCCTGTCAGAATTGAAAGGCTCAACCCTAAGTATCTCAATCTGTCTTCGTTGGGCAACATGATCACCACCCAAAAGAAGCCCAAATTCCAACAGTGCTGTTTCTGTTGGTGTTCCCAAAAGGGAGTTCTTTCCCTGTGCATCCTTCACCACTTCAGCACTACTATTTAGAAATATAGCACGCAGAAGGGTGCTGAAAACCCTTTCGGATATCATCAGCTCATCAAAGTTTTTGCTCTCATTACCACCATTGTCTTTAATTTTCTCACATATCCATATCTTATTAACCACCATATGGTTTGTAGTTAGTGTCCCTGTCTTATCCGTACAGATGCAACTTGCGGAACCCATTGTCTCACATGCAGAGAGATGCCTTACCAATGCCCTTTCATCCATTAACTGTTTCATTCCAAAGGCCAGGCTCAGTGTCACTGCCAATGGTAATCCTTCGGGAACAGCAACAACTATTATAGTTACTGCAATAGCAAAGTAGTCTAGAAGCGTCAATGCATCAGTTGAAGACCATTTTGTGAACTCATTTTGGAGTGCTTTATCCACGAGAAACCTCACCGTTAAAACTACAAATGTGAGAATTGCAAAAGTCAAGCCAATTTTGCCAATAATTGTGGCAACACCATTCAATTTCACCTGAAGTGGGGTCTCATCTTCTCCCCCCTCATTTAGAGTTTCCATCAACTTCCCCCATTCAGTCCTCATACCAACTGCTGTAACCAGCATCTTTGCTGACCCATCTCTAACTTTGGTTCCTGAAAGAAGAAAAGGATTTTGTTCATATATGTCCACTGGGTCACTCTCCCCCGACAAACTTGATTCATCAATCTGCAAGCTGTATCCTGATATGAACAGCCCATCAGCTGGAACTTGGTCTCCAATACCTAAATGAACAACATCCCCAACAACCAAGTCATAAATAGAAACTTGCTGCCTAAGCCCGTTTCTTGTAACTTGAACAGAAATCTTTCTTTTCTCCCTGTCAAGATCTCTGAATTGCAAGGACTGCCTGTAGTCACTAATAGCAGTAACTAATACTACCAAGATTATACTAAGTAGAATTCCCGCTCCATCATACATACCCTTTGGCCACCCCTCCGTGGCAAGTCCTACACCTATAGAAATCACAGCACATATCATAAGGATAATCAGGGTCAAGTCTTGGAGTGCATCCCACACAAACATCCAAAAAGTTCTTGGAGGTTTCTCTGTGTAACAGTTGAAGCCATAGATCTTTTGCCTAGTAGATATGTCGTCGGAAAGGACACCTTCATCAAGGGAGGTAGTGACTTTCCCAGCAATCCCTTCAACTCCACCATGCAACTTTAAGCGCTTAATATTATGGCCATGAACAATAGAAGAGAGTTCATCAGGTTCGATTCCAAAATTTGCTTCTCTAACCTCATCGGTAAGTCTGTAATCAGGTGGACCAGCAGCTGAATATGACCACTGGATCAGTTAAGTAATAAAGGAGAGCAGTGATAATATATACAATGGTATCATATAAATTTTGTTAGAACTACAAAACTGCATATCATACCATCAATAAACTGCAAAGCTGCTTTCTGAACAATAAGAGCAACTCGAATTTTCTCCTGGTTTGGGGGGGAAAAGCCATAAACAGATCAAAAGTATTATAACGTCAATGAAGGACTTTACAACAATAATTGCACAAAATTCATTGCAACAATAATACTTGGTGTTGTAGTAGAACTTTAGAACCAAATGCAGTTAAAGGACATTTGTTTTTGTTGGTAAAGAGGCTAATGAGCCATAATTTGTTGTTCTTCATGTTCTTAAGTAACATTTTGAGAGGACACATAAATGGTTGTGGTATCATTGGCATTTAAGATGGTGACTGAGAACTGATCTTTGAAACGCTCAACAATGTGTAATGTTCCAATATCTCATTAGAAAATCTGAGAAAAAGAAAAAAATCTCATTATCAATTACTATATTGTTTCCAATGGTCCAAATTTTTGTGAATGATTATATTAAAAATATATATTGCCATCTAAAAGCAAATGATTTAGATGCTTAAGGGAAACTTGTCTTATTCAAGAAAGATAAATACAGATAATAGACTGCATTTGAGCTTCTCCAAATATTTTCTGATAAGAGTAAGGTATTATCACTAGGATTCACTTCATCTGCCATATCCACGTCTTTGCAGCAAGAAATTTTTATTTCAGGTGATATGTAAAAAGAGTTATAGAGCTTAATTTACAGGAAATCTGTTCTGGGTATTTGATAAGGATTGCACCCTCATTAACATGAAGCAAAAGCACTAACAGAATTCAGAAGTGCTTTCTCAATGTAGGAAAAACTTTTAAAACAATGCTTAAGATGAATTTGACACATTTATACCATTTTCATAAAATATTTCCTTCTATCAGAACTTGAGTACATGTGCCACTATTATCATAGTTCTCTTCATGCTTACACAATACTTTAAAAGAAATCAAACATCAGGTTATCATATTCATAATCCCAAGCTTGAACAACATGCAATAATTACAATATATGATATTACATAATGAAGATTTTTTTATAAAGTTATCTGCTACAGTTAGGTGAACCCAAAAGACAAGGGACAATTTTAAATACGGCACATTGATATGATATCAAAAAGAGAGAGAAAAGTTACAAGATTTAAAATTTTAGTAAAAATCATGAGTTTGACAAAAATAAAAAATATATTATGTGTTTAACATATCAACAAAAATTTTAATATAATAATTTTTATATTTTATATATATTTAATACAAAATAAATAAAATCAAATATTAGAATTCTAAGACAAATCTTTAACAGCCATAACAGTTAAAAGCTTAAAAGGAACTAGGAGAGCACCATTATTGGTTTTAATAATAAAAAGAGTGGCCACTTGGTCAAGGAATTACTATTTATATCATCACGATAAGAAACATGTGAAGTGGGGCAAACAACATGTGAGGCGTACGATTCTTGCGGAGCAAATGGGACAAAATTAAAAGCCTTCTTTATCCCTGGAATAAAGGGTTCCTGACATCGTCTTCTTGCCGTATTTAATACGCATGATATTCTTATTTGGACCCACTTGCATTTGTATTTTAAGAGAATTAGGAAATTTCACGGAAGTTTCCTTGGATAATCTATTATTCGTGGTTATCTTAAGTCAAAAAAGTAGATTTAATTGGCGGGGTGACTCATATATTAAATTCAAACCCCGGCTCTACGCCCCCAATTAAAGCTTTAAGAAAAATGAACTGAAATTGCCATTATTTTTTTTAATTAGAAAGTGATTTATTCAACACATGTTTACTTGTGTTTTCCTAGAATTTATATTTAATATATTATTAATATATAAATTTTATATATTATTAATAAATTAAATAATATTATATCAAGTAATATTAATTTTTAAAATAAATATTTAAAAATTAATATTTAAAAAAAAAATTATTTGATAATAAAATGATATCTTTTAATTTACTTCATTAATTCATTATATATTGATTGTATAATTTTATTTTACAATACATTTAATAATTTTAATCATGATATAATAATACAATATAAAAAATGTTAAATAATATAATTTAAAATTTTAATAAAAATTACATATAAATTTGATAAAAATCAAAAAATATATTTTATATTTGATATATATTAATATAAAAATTAATTATAAAATAAATATATAAATGCATAAAATTTTAAATATACTTTTCGATATACTAATTATAACTGTTTACATGTACGAAGTTTCATGTAAAAGTTTTTTTAGAGGTCCCGCACTTGCAAAAATTAGTTAAAATTTTATTTTAAATTTTATGAAAATTTCATTAAATTTAAAAAAAAATAATACATTAATTATGAAAATCTTTCTAAAAATATCACCTCCTCTAAAAACATTTTTTAGGGTTTTCATGCTTTTTGATCATGACGATGACAATAAATATATTATAAAATAATGAATAAAAACATAAAATTTTGGAGCAGATCTAAACCCAGCGGCCCACCACCAAAATGCAAAAGAAAGTTAAGCTGAAAGGTCTGTGCAACAGTGCAGATCCACTGTTAGAAAAAAGGGCAGCGGTGGACCACAGTCCACACCACAGATTTCTAAGTACAGATTTTTTTTTTGTAATTTCGTTGACAATATGCACCGCAACGTGGCAGGGCATCATTGATTCGTGCAAAAAAGTACGGTAAAATGGACGGAAATCAGTATGTTTCCGAATTGTAAGGAGCTACCACATGGATCTGATCCACCAGACCACAATTTCTATGCTATTAATTAATTAATTTCCCTTGAATAAAAAATTTAAAAATGGAGGAGATTAGATGAAAACCTTGATTTTGAGCTTTTGCTGTTCGGCTTCGGATCGTTTATCGAGATTAGCGATCATACGGAACCTCCGGCGACGGTTCCTAACAATAGTAACAAGCGTTCTCCAGCGCCGCAACGCCGCCTCCGACGAGTGTTTCGGCTCCACTTCAAAATCCTTCAACAGTTCATCCATGTTTCCAGCGATCAAAACCGAAGCAAAAGACTTAACTCTCTCTCTCTAAGGTTTTTGTGGTATTGTATATATACAGTAATTAACAGCTACGATTTCCTTTTAGGGTTGAACTTTTTTTGGGATTTGTTTTGCTTTTCTGGATTTGCCAAATAGATTCCACAAATGAATTTTAAATCAAGAAAAAGAGAAAAAGAAAAAGTTGTTATGCTTTTAGAAAGGGGGGGCTGCACTGAAAAAGTTGGGTATTGAAGGGTTTTTCTATACAGTGCTGACTATATATCTATATTTATATGTAAATAAAAATTTTAATAATAATAAATATTTAATATCTAAAATTCTTGAAGTCAAATAAAAGAAACAATAATAAAAATAATATATATAACAAAATATTTAATTTAATACTTAAATTTCAAAATTTCTGACTTAGAATTATGAATATGCAACTTCATGGTCTTTGCAATTTGGAGTTGTTTTCATTTTTTTTTCTTGATTGGGAATTTGGGTTTCTTTTCGTTTCCGCTTTTTCTGTAAGTTGTCAGCTCTTTGTCCGTCTCAGTTATTTTTACTGCTACTTACAGCTTTGGCGAGCTTATTAGATTTTTCTGGTTTTGGGTGTAATATTGAGTATTGATTATGACGATGGTTGATTGTTTAAGCTTTTATGCTTCATGTTGGGCTTGATTTGCTTTTTGGTTTTCATGTGATTTCGTTCCTTGTAAGGAATAGGTAATTATTAGCCGATCCCATTTATGACCGGCCATAGCCACCGATTTTACACACAATACACGACTCCTCAATGGCCCAATCTCTCTCTTTCTTGGCTGTCATCTTCTTTCCCTACATTGCTGTGATGATTCATGAGGGACCATCTCTCTCTATCTTCCTAGACACCTCTCTTTGACTTTTTCTTTCACCAAAAGTCACAACTATACTTATCCTGTTTCATTATTTATCGAAAATTTTGAGCCATGTTTTTCATATTATATATATATATATATATATATATATATTGCAGCAGTCTGTAATTATAATGGAAAGTTGTTCAGACAACGAGGTCTATCTTCAAGACAGAAACGAGGATGATTATGATGAAGAGAATTGCTACTTCTTATCCAGGTTACAATTTAGGTACTCTATGTTTTGTTAGCTATTTTTTTGGTTGTAAAATCTTTTTCTTGTAGAATAAATTTGTAATATTTTACTTGTGTCCCCTAATAAAAATACTGTTTTTTGTTTAAAAGTGTTTACTTTGCATGGAACCATGCTAAGTTTCTTTTGCAAAATCAGCAATTTTAAAGATTTGACTTATTTTCATTAGGGAACATGGTGAAAAGGATATAAGAAACGTCACTTAAGTTCTATCCAAGACCAAAAATATTGCTTTGATAGAAATGCAATCTATAGCTAAAAACATTAAAAATCTAACTCTAATGACCATACGAAGCCCTAGATAGTTAGAGGAGTTAATTCTACTGGATTATATAAACTTGAATTATGTGACTAAAATCTGTTTTCAGGAAAGATATTTCAAAGGCCCGATGGATTGATGATTTGGCTATGGCCGAAGTTGTGGAAAAAGAAGGGTAAGATGTGGGTTACTATGGGGATGGTTCATAGAGGCAACGCATATTGCTCCATTGAGGAAACTCTGTAGGTGAAACCCAACCTGAGTTAAAATTTTGGTTATTGTAAGTTTATGTTTTTATTGTAATTTTTTAGAAATAACTTTTGTAGCTTTTTTATTGAAATAGGGGCATTGCATCTTTTAGACGAAAATGGTATATGTCTTTCTTTAAAAGAATTATATGAGAAGTTTTCAGATGGAAAGAGTGGATGCTATTGGGAGCTTTTTGAAGTTTATAGGCACCTGAAGTTTCTCATGGTTATGTAGTTGGGCCCATGGTATCCCTTGGTCTGTGAAGGGTCAAAATATTAAAGCTGGAACCTGTTTGCTTCAGGGCAGTCAAGAGAGAAATGAGTTACTAGAAATGGAGCCGAAAGACAAGAATTCCTTCATTAAGTTGTTCGATAAGATGCAGATTACGGAAGTTAGTCTTGCTTTTGATGTTTATCTTCCAAACAGCAAGTTTAGAAAGTCTTCACTAGGCGCTCCAAGTTTTGTTCTCTACTTAAGTAGGTAAGCTTATATTGCTTATCCCAAGAGTTGGAAAACTCTTCGACACTCCTGAATATGGTGATTGACTGCATATCTTTCATTTACATTATTGAATATCTGTTTTTGTGTTGGATTTTTTCCATATAAAGTATTTTGTACTAAAAGTCGGATGCCTAACGGTTTACCCACCATGTTAACTTTATTAGAGGAAGAACTAGTCATGAAATGACTGTGATAAAATTTCTAAGGCTTCTCATAGTTATTTGCATTAATTAGAAAACTTGTTGCATTTTTTGACACACGTAAGGCTGAGGTGTATTGGCTTTACTGCAAAGTTGTCATGGTAAACACAAGCAATATAAAATCTGAATTTATTAAAAATAAAACTGTACTTCATGAGCTTTTCTTAATATCTTCTGTTCGTCAGTTGCTCTCAATTTGCTTTTGTGTTTTTTCTTGAGACTCTTCTAACTTTATCTAAAGAGAACTGAATACAGAACCACACTCTTCATGTGTGAAACCAACATTGTTCTTTGAATTTTTGTCAAAATTGGTTCTTTTCTGGAAGCTAAATTATAAATTGCCTGTGTTGAGTATTTTGCCATGGTTTTTTTCCCAAAGCTGCTGAAAAGGAAGTAGTTTATGTAGAGCCTTTCTGCAGCTTTTAATTATCATATGCTTGAACATCATATTTCCTGACTTTTTATGCCTCTTCCCTTATCCTTTATTTTCGAACATAATTTCTGTTCAACATTTAAATACACTGTTATGAGTTTAACCATCCTTGGACCTGTAGTCTTTTTTTTTTTTGACTCTATAGTGCAGTTGTCTCTTACTTCTCAAGTTTTGCTTCTAGGTCAAATAATTATTTTATTTTAACTTGCATTACTTATTCATTAGTATAGGAAAGAATGTGAGGATAACACTGCAATTCTAACTTAAGATCTCTACCCAAATCCACATTCCGGTGTGCCCAAGCTAGGATCACGTGGCTTTTTCCAATTCCTTTCATTGCCACCTAATTCGATAATCATGGGGAGAAGAGGACCTTTCTGACCTGATCGGTTCTTGCTTTTGTGGAAAAATGCACTGCGTTCATTTATTTACTTGCTTGGATTGATTTGTGGACTCGGGACTGCCCTGCATTCAGGGAAATCAATGAACATTTATTGCTATATGGAGTAAGCATATATATTTATGCAAAAAGTTCATTTTCCATTGGCAAAAAGCCACACCTTGGAGCATGGCGATGTTTTTCCTCATAATGCTTGTTGTTGTGATTTTATTGTTATCATTAGCTGTTTGCATAACTTGTGATGGAAATGAGACTGATATTTACAGCCACTTTTCTTAAGAGTGCTCTGCTGGTAGTTTACAAAGAGAAGCTGTTGTTAGCTTGGAGAATTCAAATCCCCTTTTAGCATAATTTGCATGGTTTATGTAGGACTGTCTGGGGGCTTTTTAATATATAACTTGTTTCTGGGAAATTCTCAACATGATTTTCTAATTTACTATCTTATTGTTTGCCATTTTTTTTATTTTGCTTGACTTGTCTTCTTCTTACAGGTGCAGTCCACCTTCTAGAGTAGAATTGAGGCCCTTGAAAGAAAACATGGAGCCATCCCTTTGAAGTTTTGTTATGTAGAGAACGGGCGTGTCAGTTTCTTCTCCTTTGGTAAGGTCGAGATTGCTGTCCTACCTTAAAACTTTTTGCTGTCTTACAGATCTGTTTGCTAAGATGATACAGCAAGAGAACTAAGAAGATTTTTGTCTTGGCTCAAACAATGCTTGGAGTTGTCAGTCCTTGAGTGAAGTCCCTAGATTTGGGTATCTCCTTGATTTTTTATGATATTTCATATTTCATTTTAGGCTTTGAGGAAGAAATTTATTCAGTCAAATTCATCATTATTTAATATTACCTGATAATGAGCCACTCGCCTCTCTTTCAGCTTGTTTGATTTCTATTACTAGGAATCCATATTCTACGAAAGTTCCAATCAGAACACAAAGGCATGACTCTTAACAAGCATTGTCCAGAATTTTTAATCGAAATGACATAGAAGCTTCTTAAATTTACCCTGGCAACACCTTCTTATCTAGTTATATGAGCAATAAAAGATTCCAACTCTACACGAGAAACTCCACCTTCAGCAGCAGACTGTTTCCGGACAGCTTCTCCTAATTCCTCTGCCCTTTTCCTCATCATTTCCCCCTCCATTGATGCCATCAGTCTCCCTATTGCATCCTTGATGTGAGAACATGTCACCATTTCCTGTCTCCGGTTCCAATCTTTGACAACCAAGCCTATTTTTAACACTTGTGCCACTAAAACAGTGTTCCTTGGTTGCTCTGAATGCATAGGCCATGCTGCAATAGGTACTCCCATGCTGATACTCTCCATGCAGGAATTCCATCCGCAATGACTCATGAATCCACCTGTAGATGGATGCCCCAAAATTTCAAGCTGGGGTGCCCACTCTCTCAAAACCATTCCTGATCTTTCTGTTCTTGCCTCGAATCCTCCAGGAAGTTCGGGTTCCCTAACTTCTTCTGTGAAAATGTCTCCTTTATCAGCATCTCTCAATACCCAGATGAACTTTGTCTTGCTTTGTTCTAACCCGATTGCGAGTTCATTTATCTGCTCATCGGTCATGGAAGCTGAGGTTCCAAAAGAAATGTACAAAACAGATTTTGGTGCTTGTTTGTCTAGCCACTCTAAGCATTTGTGATATCTATTTGGGTTGCTTTGCTCAAGAACTTTTAAAGGGTTTAACGGTCCAATTGCCCATTGTTTTCTGTTTTCGTTGGTCTGCAGCTTTGCTAGAAGGTCAATGTAAGTACCGTCAATCAATCGGCTAGTGTTATAGAGTTCTCCAGCTTGAAAATTCATGAATTGATATTGATAAGTGACAAAATTTACGAACTCAGAGCTGAAGCAATCTTCAAGAGATGGGAGCTTTTTTTGTATTTGGGATACTACAGCTTCTATTGGGAAAGGTTTACCCCTGGCTTCCCAAATGTTGTAGAACAAAGCGAAAGGGGATATACTTTGAAAAGCATAAACTTCGGCATTAGTGATAGAAACAGCATCCTGGATTATGGAAGCAATTATACTGTCATGGATAATGATTATTCTTTCAGCTGATCCAGAAAGCTCAAGAAGAAGTGCACCAACAGGCTGGCGAAGGTGCAAATAGGCTTCAAACGATGGCTGGAGATGAGTAGGGAACTTTACTGTGGCACTTGGATTGGGTGGAGGAGAGATGAAAGTTGGGATTGGTAATTCATGGAATGTTAAAAGTGAATTGTGGAAGGGATCCAAGCCATATGCCCGGAGCTTGACCTGACGACTGTGAATGCTAGAGCAGACATAATGGACAGGAATTTTGTGGGATGAAATGAGGCAGGATAGTTGGAGAAGCTGGTTCAGATGGCTGTGGCCCGGAAAAGGCACCACGATCACAACAACTGGGGCTTGCTTATGGTTGATTGAATCATATTTTTGATGGCTGGTATGGTTGGCCATTGGCCAGTGATTCCTTCCTACGTTCACAAACGAAAAAATAAAAAGTTTAGCGCTTGCTTAATGGTACTTTCAACTAAAACATGCTCAATTTTATAACTATTCGGGTGAACATATTCAGACACCTAGAAAATAATGAACTACGAACATGGAATTTGAATGGCACATTAAAAACAGAGGGCTACAGACCAAACTTTTGATGATCCATTCCTTGGAATTTACCATAAATATCTCGTGCCAAATTGTTTTTGTATCGGAAAGCAATAGCAAACCAGCATCGAGCTTTGATGGTACCATCAAACCATGTGCAAATCATATCTGCAGGCGTGAGCTAATCAGGAACCTTGAAAAAGATAGGCTAGATCATAGATTTGGAATGGCACTAGAAATCATCGACCAAACTTTTTGAGACATAAAAGACCGTGTTCAAATAACTATTCAAGCATTAATGGTATTTCAAGCTTCTGTCTTGTTGAAGGAATCCTTGGGGTTCCAAACTAGGTTCTAACTGATAAGGCTATAAATTATTCTTTACAAAATCAAATCCTGGAGCTAATCCAAAATGAAAAGCCTGCAATAATTTCAGGTCTACAAACAGTTAATTCAATCTAGCAGGGATAATGAACCTCGGTTTCTGTTTCTCTCTACCATGGTAAGCATTGCCTGCTGATTCCAGAAACCAACTTAATTATAGGGTTAATAGTGATTTGGTTCCCAAATTATAATATTTTTGTAATTTGATACTTTAAAAATAAAAGTTCGCAATCAAATACTCAAACTTTACTTCCTGTAAGTAAATTGCTTGGGATTTACATATAAGGCCATAAAACACCCGACACAAAACTTTTCATACAAAATAAAATTAAAATGGTGTTAAGGTTATGGGTATGAATCCGCCACAGTAAGATATTGTTTCGTTTATGATTTGACTAAAAGCCTATTTTGTATCCAAATAAGCAATAATTAGGATGTCCGCAAGGCAGGTGAAAGAGTGCAAGCCTCAGTTTTCACTTTTTAAGGAGATATATAACAATAGCTTTGGATTCAGAAAGGCTTAACATTGACATGGGGGGGATGTCGGCTGCATCTTAATTTAAAATAGGATTTGATGATAATATCATGAATTATCAATATTTTATACAATACTAATATATAAATTTTCTAGATATATAAATAATCAGGTTTAATGTCGGCATTTGAATTAGAGATTCCCAAGTTTCCATTACTTCCATTGCAAGAAAATTAATGTGATAATAAGGATTTCCAATAGTTCTAATATTTCCCTGTTAGGTTTGTAGCTTTCTTATTGTGAACAATATTAATGCTCACTAAAGACAGCTTTGAGAAAAATGGCGGATGGCTCCAATAACTGTGGAGTCTTGAGATGGAAACAGCTGCTGCATCCAAGCTACGATGAAGTTCTAAATCACACACATGGCTACCTTCGAGTTAAATCAGAAAGTAATTTGGGGTACTCACCCCGCTCATGATGGGGACATCTGAATAAAAAGATTGGAAGGAAATCAACCTTTCCGGCCTCCCTTAATTCTAAATAGAAGGGTTGAGAGCCCTTTCCATTAGACAGCACGTTCTAGGGTCAACGCCTTTGATAATGCTAGCTGCCTGTTGTTATTGTATAATTCTAATTTGCTGAGATTATTGCATCTTTCATTTCATATTTGCTTCAACTTTGGATAAGCACTATATATAACAAGCAACTTCAAGCAATAAGTGGCCAAATTTTAAACGACTGCCTTTGCGAAACGCCGACAGAAAGAAATGATGAAACCTGAAACCATAATGACTTCTTTCCGCTTCATAAATTGAGCTCTCAGGTCAGGACTAGTCAGGGTCGTCATTACTTTTGTTCTTCTGCTAGGAAAAATCTGAGCCTGAGCTATACATAGAAATCTTTTACACGTACTTGAGACAGAAGAAAAAAAAGAAAAAGGAAAAAACCTTCAAACATCAATTCTGATGGTAGATTTATAGCACCAGTAACAGCATATGTATCAACATTTGGTGATGCCAATGTGTCATTGGGGTAATGCCCCAAAAAAAATATCATATAAGTCTAGATTGAAGTATTTTGGACACATACTGACAAAGTTCGTTTGTCCTTGCAGACAAGGGCACGTTCTCTAATTTGTTATAGCAAGGAATGCTCGTGCATTCAAAGCTGAAGCTGAAACTTTATCTATATATTTCAGCTTTAAATAAATTATACAAGTCCAACGTGGTCATGGGGTCCGTTCTCAGTAGAGTACTCCCAAAATTTTCTTATCTTTTCTGCTGTCCAATCCATTCAACAAGAACAAATATTGGCATGTGATATATATGTACGAGTTCTTATCCTGTTGGACCGTGAAATTTGGAGCCAACATATAAGAATAGATAAATAGTTTTCTTCTAAAAGTACTGAAGTTGTTGTTTCATTTAAGAGCCAATAAGACTCCTACCATCCCCACTGGTTTTCAAATTCTTCGATACCCTGTGGTGCGACCAGGGAATTGAATCTTCACCTAATTATTGTCTTTTTTTTGTCTCTAATGGCAGTGAAAGTTATAATACTGGAGATTGTATAGGGTTTATCATCCTTATAAGATTCATGATCTCCACAAGTAATTAATTATTTACCTATAACTCAACTCAAGGGATGTGATTAACATAGTTGTTTTCTGCAATACTTTCATTTGCCTTGCTTCCTTAATGCAAACCAATAATTGTATATTAATTTATCTGGGTATCACAGGTTGTTGCTTTTTTTTAATGAGTTTGTTTAATGAATTTTCTTAAATGTAATAATTATTTCATAATTAATTTTTGCTTATACATGTAATCTTGTAAAAAGCGGCACTACAGAAGTTTTGATTTTTAGTGACGTTTTTTTACCATTTAGCAATGTTTATTAACGCTGCTATATGATTTGCGACGTTCATGAAAAATACCACGTAGAGTGTCGCCTATATATGCGTCACGGTAAATAGCGACGTTTTGAAAAAACGTTGCAATATTAGCTATATTTATATATGAAATGTCGCTATTTTAGTGGCGTTTATATCTTTGAGATGTAGCTACTTTAGAGGCATTTGAATATGAAAATGGCTCAATATTGGCGGCATTTGTATCTTTTAGTCGCCACTAATTCAATGACATTTTTATGAGAAAAACGTCGTGTATTGACGGTATTTACAACAAAAAATGTCGCTACTTTATAGGCATTTGAATTTAAAAACGCCTCAATATTTGTAGCATTTGTATCTTTTAGGCTTACTATTTTAATAGCGTTGTTATGAGAAAAACGTCGTTGCTTTAGTGGTATTTCTATAAAAAATACCACCTAACTAGCGACATTTGCTGGAAAGAGCACCGCTACTTATAGTGATGTTTTATGTAACAAACATCACTAAATTATTCATCTAACGACATTGCCCAACGCAAACGTCGTCATTATGTAAAAATATATTTTTTTTTAATTTCTTATAATAAATTTTATTTTCAGTAAAGAGCTTAAATTCAGAAACTGAAATTAATATTAACTTCATTCACGTTTAAATATACATCTAATTAATACAAAGTTTAATAATTAGTATAATAACATTCAAATATTTTGAATACATTAACAAAATAAAAAATTAAAATGTATGAAATAGATGACTACATATATTTTGCTGGCTACCAATTGATTAAAAAAATTTTTCACATTGGTCACTAGCGTGTTCAAGAACCTACTGAATAATATCATACAATTTTTAACACTTCATTGTATTTTTTTTTATTTAAAAATTTTAATATTTAGTAAGTATAATACATGAGTTGGTGGAGTACCAAGATCATTTTCTGAAAATTGTTGTTGCACAAAATTCATAAGATGATCGAATCGATCATGCAACTGTTGAAATTTTACACCGTCTAGCTTCATTATAGCACGTTTTTCTTCAATTTTGGCACGTTCCCATTCTCTTTCTGCTTCCATTTGCTGAAAACGTTGTTGCATAGTTTGCAACTCCCCTCTCAATATTGAATATCTCGTGAAGACTGACTTGCTGAGAGTGTAAATTGTGAAAAGTTATGTCCATAGTAGGCAGATGGTATTGGATCCAATCTAAGGCCTCGGATCTGTCCATGCCTTTCTTTTCCAACAACTTTTATGAATATCTGATTTTTCATTTTTGGCATATTGAGAGAACCTTTAGATGCTATTTCAATCTCAGCAGTCATTTTCTCTTTCGCTTTCTCCTGTGAATTTGTCATATACAACTATCAAGTATTGATTACATGTTAAAAAGAGTAAATATTTACTTTATGTTAAAATAGATTATACAAATTACCATAATTTTTTGTGTTTCAATATTCATGTAAGATCAATCTTTTTTTGTGTATGTTACGCAAAAAAATTCCCCACAACCAATTGTATCGCCCATCTCATTCTGTTATACAAAAAAATATGTTATTTGATAGGATACATATCAATCACAACTTATTTAGGCATATCAATCATATCAATCAAGTATTAAAATCTTGAATAATTTTAATCTCATTTATTTATATTTTGGCCCTATAACAACATAATAGTCTTAAATATACGTAAAGAATAAAAGCATTTTGGGCTTTCACACATATCGATCATGGAAACCAAATTCATTTATTTTCTTCTGGTTTAATATGCTGGATTGAAGCCATTCAATATTTTGAAAGGCATCCAAAACTTATTTGTATATTTGCCTTTTATATGCAAAAATATTCCCAAACAAACATAATTGACAACTTTTTCTCCCATATCAACTATAGAAACCAAGTTCAATCAATTGGATAAGCTTAATATCAAGTATTGAAACTATCAAAACTGTTAAAATACAACAATCACAACAACCAGATATTAAAGGCGTAAATATATGTAAACAGTAACTTTTCATACATATCATCTGTGTAACTAAGTTCAAAATTTTCGATAAGTTTAATATCATGTATTGAAACAATCAAACCTATTAAAACAGAACAATAAATATTAATTTGCATATTTACCTTTTAATAACAGAAAAAGTTCACTCATTAGAATAAGTTAATTATCATAAACTTACGATTTTTTTTGTTTTCTTGTAAAACTTTTTGATCCACTTGTGTGGCTATATTTTTGTTGCTTTCTGCTACCAATCCCAATCTATTCTTTTTTTGTCATAAAAAATAATTGCATATATAATAGAAATACAAATATTACCAACTGAAACCATCAAACACTTTCATCATTTCATTCTATTGTACAAAATTATAAACTAGTATCTCTCATTTTCTTGAGAACCAAAATCTAACCAGTTATTCATATTGTCACCTAATCACATTACTAGGTAGATTTTGCATCATCGCCTCTACAGTAGTATTTCGATCGAAATACTTATTTTTCAAACTATGCTTATAATCTTTCCATTTTTTTCCCAATGACTTAAGCACAAATGAAGTTGGTATTTCAAGTACAAATTTTGACTATAATAATATAATAAAAAAAGTTTGAATAAGTAAACAAAATGTAAAATAAAAATTTTGAATATATCTAATTAATTATACTAATACCTCAATAAAGTTTAACGCATCGACCTTAACTTCTTTTGGAACATTATGCAATGTTTCATAATGAATAGGCAATTTTATTCCATTACGGGCTAGCATGCCTAGAAATCTAGCCAATAGTTGAGTCTCTTCACCAATTGGTTGCCTATCAGAGTTTGCGATACTACAATATGCTCATTAGAAGGTAATGCAAACAATTTCTTCAAAGTTGTCTGGCTTCTAGTCCTCCGTTGATCATTGTTATCAACTATAATAAATATAAAATATATTTGTAAAATCGTAATACTTTTATCATTATA